ATGAGAGTTGGATCTAATTGTGTGATCTAATTTCACATTCTTTATTTTCATTTCTGTGTGTCTTATACATCTAAACCCAAACAGCTTGTTTACTCTAACTATATTATAAGTGAAGTAATTCCCCCTGCCCCTACCCTTTAATTCTTCATTGTCAAAATGTTTTAGCTCTCCTAGGTCTTGTGACTTTCCATATGAATTTTAGAATAAGCTTGTTCATTTCTCCAGAATATCTTGCTGGGATTTTGATAAGGATTATGTTGGAATTGCATGTCATTTTGGGGAGAACTGGTATCTTTACTATATTGAGTCTTCCAAGCTACAACCATGGTACTTTATTTAAGTCTTTGGTTTTTTTCTTAACTTCCCGTAATTATCAGCATCCTTGACATATTTTGTTATATTTTTCTAAATATTTTATATTCCTTGAAACAGTTGTGGTATTATAAGTTCAAATTCCATATGTTCGTTGTTAGTATATAAAAATGTGATTGTGTATCCCACAATCACACTCACTGGTTCTAGAGTTTTTGGGACATGTTTTTGGAGGTTTGCTACATGGAAATCATGTTAAAAATCTTCTATTCCTAGTTTAATGAGTATTTATATGAATAGGTTCAAAGAAGTAGAAACCCTAGGAAATACACGATATACATACACAGAATGATGTTTTACTGGTATAAGTGTGGAAACTCATTAAGTAGAATCTGTAAGATTTGTGTGTTTGTTTCTGACACTGGGACTTGATGACAGACAATTGAGAAGAGAAGATGTAGATGAGCTCAGGAAGGACAGTCTTGATCCATACAGACACAGGGTCTATATCATTTCTGACTGTCTCCAAGCTGTGATGTTGGTGTTATGTAAGAGAAGTTGGCATGTTCTGTAGGAAAAATTTTCCATGGACTTCAACACACAGTTGACCCAGTACTCCATCAAGCAAAAGGTATTCATGGCAGGTGGAGCAGTGATAGGCTTAGTTGCTGCCCATTCAAACAGGATGAACCAGCAGACAACATGTGTAACCAACATGAGCCTCTCTCCCTACCACCTGAGCATAAGAATCAATGACTCTTGTTTTACTTCTACTCACCAGTCTTTGATTAACCAGGTGGTTAATCCTAACAAGAAACATGCAGAAGAGCAACTGTGGGAAATGTAGTTCCATCTAACTGACAAGACACATTTTAAAATCACCATACTTACTGTTGCTTATTTTTGTGGTCAACTCCATGGTAGGGATGGGCAGTTTCCTTCCCCTACCTCTCATGGATAGGCAATTTTTGCTTCTATTCCTCCTTTGGGTAGTTTTATTTGCGTGAAATGAGCATGAGGGCTTCCAGCCTTTCTCTGCAGTAATGCACCTTTGCAGAGGCCTGTTTAGCTACAATTTTCCCAGTGACTTCAAACTGTTGTTTCCCATGAGAGAAGGATCTGAAAAGTGAGTGCATTTTGATGTCTGTGTCCCATAGACAGGAACCATCTGAGGTTCCTGCCTTGCTTTTAGTGCGTCTTAGGTGTTTTTGGGGGGAGCTCATGAAAAACAGTTGGCAACTAAAGACTCTTCTTGTGTCTAGGATCCTAAACTGTCTCTAACCCACAACTGGCATTTGCTGAATTTTCAGTTTTCTTTCACTCTCACACTTTGATGTTGGTTCCCTCTTTATCCTGTGCTCTGTTAAAGATGAAAAAGTTCTGTGTTCTCTCTCTTCTCAGAGGAGTTTTATGACTCTTTGGTTTTCAGTTTTCCTGGTTATCTGATAAGAAGCCATGGGAGCCAGAGAAGATTATTTCAAGGAGATGGCAGTCAACTGTGATAGATACTATGCGAAGTCATGGAAAAGATTGTGAGAGATAGCATTGTTTTAACTGACAACCCATTTTTTCTGAGAATGAAACTAGTGGCAAAAGGGACTATGCAGCTGAAATAAAATCTGACAGTGTGCTGGGCAGGCAACTTGTGTAGAAGACGAGGAAGGCTGGCATTAAGAAGAAATAGCTCATAGGGACAGTAGGGCCTGTTAATGTTCTTTTCTATTTCTACTTCTCAGTATTGCTGTGTTATTTCCCCTTAACAACATGAAGTTATCTCAATTCATTTTAACCATTTATCTCTTTTCAGAGTATATAATGTTAGAACAACCTCACCTATATACAGGGAGAGAAGTAATCATAAGTGTCCATAGTGTTTAATTTACTCCTGGCAATAGACCTATATAGTTGATGGTATTATTCCCATCAAATGTAAAACTTTAGCAAATGTAAAATTAAGGCTCTGAGAAGTCATTATTTTTTGGTAAATAAGTTACAAAACTATAAGTTACATAGCCACTTAAAATGAATAGTAGCTCTATGTCATTATTCAGAGATATTCACCCTGTATATTGAATGAAAACACATTATAGAACAGAGTGAATATTCTGATCCCATTCATTTATTTATGGACTCAATAAATGTATATTGAGTGTCTACTTTGTGCCAGGCATTGTTCTAGGTACTTGGGATCCATATGCGAACATAAGATTGTTCCTCTTTTTATTAATGCAGAATGAAGTGTCACAATGGAGAGAAATATAATAGGCAGCTTGTTTTGTGAGAGATTTAAGAAGTCACAATGACAAGTTTGTAATTGTTGGGAGACAGTTCTCCATACCTCTTTTGCATTTTCACATATCTTGTGAACATAGGTACTGGCTGCTTTGTTCTAGACACTTTTATCAAGGATGATGTTTATATAGTGAACAACTTTCCCTTTGGAGCAGAGGGCAGATTTACTTATTTTCTAGTGTAGTAAAGATAATCTCTTCCCCTGGTCAAAGATCAGGCAGGTTTGCTTGATAAAAGATTTGGGTTCCCTCAGCTCAGGGTTTCTTAGCAGTGATTCAAACTCAGCTGCATGTACAATATTCACCCAGGTCACTCTGCTTTGCCCTATGGGCATTGGGGAACAAGGGAAATCAGTATCCACCTGAAGCTTATCCTGTGTGAGTAGTAAAATTATTTGCCTCTCTTTTAGGATTCTTGTGCCTCCATGAAAAGGGGACAGGTAACTTCTTAGCTTGCAAGTAGATTACTTTTCAATTTTAAATAACATGCTTATTTTTACTTTCTTTTAATGGGGGCTCAGGTTTTGTTTTTGTTTTGATGCACAGTTCTTATTTTATGGATGCTCTTGACTACTAGTAATGCACTTGATTGCTGCAAGGATAGAAGAATGTTAGTATTAGTTCTACATGTTTGTTCTAGAATGGATCTAACATCCATTTCACAGGGTGTTTGATAACAATCATTTTAATCTACAAAGTTATGGGCAAAGACATCATTTTGGAGTTACTTGTTTAAACTGAAATGACAGTGCATGTTTTAATATACAGATTTCACACATAACAGATCTGTTCAGAAAAATTTTGTCTTCTGCTCTTCCATGTTCCATTACCATTTCTCTATAGACAAAAATGGCTGGTTGCCATGTTTCCAAATACAGATTTAAAATACTTTGGTAAAAAAATGTTAATACTTCTTTGTAGCATTCTAAAACATTTTAAATGCTTCATTTGTTAATTTGAGTACTGTATTAACTTTTTAAAATAATATAATAGTTTATTTTTACATCATTTTGTGCCTTTTTCCATCTCAGTTGTAATCCGTGGACTTTCCATGACCACATCATCTGTGTGCCATCACCATAGTGTATTTATTAACTCTTAATTTATAATTCATTAGGAGTACAAGTCTGCTATTGCCAAAAGGAAAAGATTTTTAAGAAGTTTTGTGTACTAAATTTAGCATTCTTTTAAGACTGAAAATCAGATTTAAATAGTTAATTATAGAAAGCATAATCTAATCTATGAAATGCTTTACTGAATTTTTGTAGTAGATTGTTTAATGCTAATAAATTTGAGAACCATAGAGCACTCGAACGTACACAGGAAAAAACATTTTTTAATCCATTGCCTAATCATCTTACCAGTTATGAGATAGAAGGAAAAAAAGTAGAACCATTTGGCTTCAAGAACTTTAACTTATGTTGCATGGCAAGAAAACATAACCAAGAGACTTGCCTCTGTGACAGTATACAGGGAACATAGTCAAATTTAATTTTGAAATATCCTCAGCCTGATTACTTAGCTAATTATTGTTCTTTGTTGTATATTCAACTTCCTTTCATTATAGCTTCTGAATAAACATGAAGCATTTTGGTCCATCTTTTGTAAAGATGACTCATTTCTTAAAGGGACACATTTCTCTTCAAAGTAGGAATTTACTCTATTTTTGCAGTATTCTAACTATATTCTAACTACCATGATGGAATTTTAAGCTGGTTTTATATTTTTGCTGCCACATTATATTGTAAAATTGACTAAAATATTTTAACATTTCTGTAATTGTGTTTAAAAATGGGTGGCATTTTATATAAAACAATTTGCCATCCTATTGAAAATTGAAAACTGTCCCTCTCTTCCAGTCTTTATTGTTGTGTTCTGCTTTATTTCCCTTATAGCATTTTTACAAGTGACGTATGGTTTGTTGTCTTTCAGTAGTATCGCTAGAATGTGGGGGTCTTTTTCTGGGTTATTTAGTCACTATTCCTAGATCCAAGACCATCACCTAGAACTGAGTGGGTACACAGTGTATAAGTCGTGTGAGTGGGTGAGTGGATGGATGGATGGTGGGTGGATGGATGGATGGATGGATGGATGAATGGATGGATGAATGGATGAAAGGAATAAATATCTGGGAGTTTACTGTGATCCAGATGCTGTGCTAAGTCCTTTCTACCCCTGAATCTCTTAATCCTTAAAATAACCACATGAAGCACGTAGGTATTCTAATGAGGGCTAACGAGTAGTTAATTTGCCCAGCCTTACTCAGTTTAGAAAAAGAATTGAAGACCTTGATTTCCCTCATGCCATATCATAGGCTCTTAACTTCCATATTCCACTTTTCTTAGCAGTAACTTGTGTGATTTACTTTATCTCTCTTTTTAAAAAAAAATGAAACAGGAAGAAGAGAATTTATCCAAAGATTAAAACTTGAAGCAACCTTGAATGTACATGATGGCTGTGTAAGTAATAGTTCATTCTTAACTATGAAGGACTTTAAATATGTGTTCAAGTACTTGACAAAATGCCCTGATCCTTCCAGAAGAGATTTCTACCACTTATAATACATCTCTTTACATTAAAAGAGAGAATTTATTTTGAATTTAGAAATGTAAATAGAAGATTTTTTTTTAAGCGCAGATGATTTTTCTTGTATTATCAGAAGGCCCCATCCCTTTCACCCTACTGATACTGCTTTTGTGAAGGTCATTAGTGACCTTAATGTCTCCACATCTAGTGACCACTACTCAGAAACTTTACACATTGGCTGAACACATGCTCTTTTATGAAACATTTTTCCTCTTGATTTCTGCCAATACCATTGTCTCTTGGTTTTCTCCCTATCTCATTAACTCATTGTCTCCTTGTCATCTTTGTAGCAGATTCCTCTACTTTGTAACCAACAAATATTTGGTATACCCAGACTCTGCCTGGCTTCTCCCACCTTTTCTCTTAGTTCTAAGTGATACTATCCAGTCCCATGGCTAAACAAAGCAAAGCAAAGCAAAACAAAAACACAAGTACATGACTTTCACCTTTCCACTTTACCCCAGAACCTCTGATTCGTATGTCCAACTCTACTTAGCATTGCCAGTTGCATGTCGAATAGGCACTCTAAAGTTAACAGTTCTATTTTTAATTTTTATTATGAAAATTTCAAGAATACTTTTATATCTCATCACCTGGATTTAACAATTTTTCTGTTTCCTTTTTTCCCCTTCCTGAAGTAACAGAATTTTAAAGTAAATCCCGGTCAGCCTTCATTTTACCCCTCTATATAAGCCTAAAAGCAATGGACATTTTCTGTGCAACTAAAATGTCATTATATAATTTAGCAAAACTGACAGTGTATTTTTGTTAGCTAATACACAGTTGATAATCAGATTTCTCTCATTCTTTAAAAATATCTCTTTATAGTTGTTGAAAAGAGGATCCAGGCAAAGTCTATCTCTTGGTTGCTATGCTTCTTAAATGCTTATTAATGTAGAGCAGTATTCCCCTTTTTGTTCCTGTCATTGACTTGTTAAAGAAACCAGGTCAGTTTTCAAGTAGGATGTACCACATTGTAGATAATTGGCTTGTTTTCTTACAGTGTCATTTAATGTGTTTGTATACTTTGTCTGTCCTACTCGTTGAAATTACTTTGAGAGCTTTGATTAGATTCACATTCAGATTCACATTCCGAGGCAGGAATACTACAGGTGATACTGTGTGCTTTTGTATTTATCACATGAAGAGGCACACCTGTTTGATTGTCCTGCTTTTAGTGATGGTCATTTGTTCATAAGACTCAGGTGGCTAAAACAAACACTTGCTTGTTTTCTCCCATAATGAGCTATTTATTGTCTTTGTTGTCAAGTTTTTAAGTTGTGGACTTCTGTATCTTTGTTTTTAAATTTACTTTCACATTTTACTGAATGCATTCTTAAATATCACATTTTACTGAATGCATTCTTAAATAATATTTTTCTAAGGGTAAGTGGAAAGTGAATGTTTCTTACAGCATTTTTCATATATCATTAATTATAGTGATTAATATTTGAGTGTTAAACTGTCTATATATTCCAGAGATAAATCTCATTTGATAATGTTATGTTATCTATTTTTATATATTGCTTTACTCAGTTTGCTTAAATTTTGTTTGAGATTTTTTGCATATACATTAAGAATATTGGTGTAAAGATTTCTTGTATCTATGAGTTGGAAAGTATTTTGTCTTGTTTAATTTTCTGAAAGACTTGATAGAGAATTCTCTTTTTTTTTTTAATGTTTGGCAAGATTTGCCTGTGAAGCCATCTGTAACTGGAATTTTCTTTGTAGAAAAAATCTAGTTAAAATTCTTTAATAAAAATAGACTATATCTTAAGTAATTTTTTTATCTTAAGTGAATTTTAATATATGTATTTCAAGGATTTTGTCTATTTCATGCAAGTTATTAGACTGTTATAAAGTTGTATCTAATATTCCCTTACATGTTTAAATATTTGTAGAAATGTAGTTAGTGATGTCACCTCTTACAGTCCTAATACTAGGAACATGGTATCCAGCCCATTTTTTTCTTCATTAGTGTCAGTAGAAGTTCATCAATCTTATTTGTCTTCTTAAAGAACCAGTTTCTAGACTCAGTAATTTTTCTGTTGTGAGAACCATTATTTCTAATTTTTCCTGACTTTGGGTTTATTTGCTTAATCATTTTTTGGGAGAAAGCTGAGGTTATTGATATGAGACCTTGTCTTTCTAATTGCTTTTTTAAGGTTATTTTAGTACTATAAATATTCTTCTAGCTTTTGCATTAGCTGTAACTCACACATTGAGTATTATCCTTTTTTTTCATACATGTCAAGATACTTTCTAGCTTACTTTGTAATTTCTTATTTGGTCATCTGTAATGTAAGAGTTTTAAACTCTTTTGCGTTAATGATTTATAATTTAATTCCATTTTGGCCAGAGAACATAGATTGCTTGATTTGAAGTTTTCTAAATATATTGAGATTTGTCTTGTGACTCATAAGTATTGTTTACAATGGAGGTAAAAGAATGTGTTCTGATGTTTTTAGTTACTTCAGATGTGGTAGGAAATCATATTACCCATCTTACCTGAACGTAGAAGTCTAGTTATATTTTTTTGTTAATTTAGAGAGTGTTCATATATCATAAAGTTCACCTGATTTAAGTGTGCAATTTATATATTTTTGTTATATTCAGAAAGTGCACAGTGTCACTACTGTCTCATTTCCATGTATTTTTAACATCCCAAAAAGAAAATTCATGTCCATTATCAGTCAATGCCATTCCTCCTCCACCCAGCTGTTGGCAGTCACTAATCTGCTTTCCGTCTCTATAGATATGTCTGTTGTAAATTTTTCATATAAATGGAGCCATATAATATGTGTCCTTTTCAACTGGCTTCCTTTGATAGCATAGTGTTTTCAAGGTTCTTCCATGAGGCAGTGTTGTTTCATTTTATGTCTGAATAAGATTTGTTATGAATAGTAACATTGTGTTTATAGATATTTGGGTTGTTACCCCTGTTGGCAATTATGAATAATGCAGCTGTTGCCCCATTATTCATAACTTTTATGTGAGTAGGATTTCAGTTCTTTTGGGTATATACTTGTTGGGGATTGCTGGCAATAGGGTAACTCTTACACAGTTTTTGAAGCTAAACTGTTTTCCAAAAAGCTGCACGATTTTGCATTCTTGTCAATTTATGTATAGGATTTTCAATTTCTCGGTATCTTCACCAATTTTTGTTATTTTCTAAGGTTTTTGTTTTTGGGGTTTTTTTTTTTTTTTAAAGAAATTATTGTAGCCATCTAGGTTGGTGTGAAGCAGTAACTCATTGTGGTTTTAGTTTCCATGAAGATTTTATGAAAGTTTTAATAGCTTTGGATTTTACATTTAGACCTTTCGCATTTGCAATGTGAAGTAGAGGTCCAGATACATATTTTTTGCTTGTGTATATCCAATTGTTGGAATATCAATTTACTGAAAAGACAGTTCTTTCTCTGTTGAATGGTTTGAGACCACTTGTCAAAATTATTTGAATATGAAAGTAAGAGTTTATTTCTGGACTCTCAGTTCCATTCCATTGGTCTTTATGTCTGTGATCATGATGGTACTTCTTAGCCTTGATTACTGTAGTACTGTAGTTCTGTAGTTAGTCTGTCTAGTTCCAGTTCCTTTTTAGATGGCTTGGTTTAAACATATTTGAATATAATGCAGATAAAGTAAATTCTAATTTCAAAGAGACTCAGACAACTTGTTAATTTTCAGAGCACTGTGTTTGCTAAATGGGAGTCACTATTTTTAATAACAGGTAAATATATTTATCATAGATAGAATCTCCATTAGTGTTACAGGTTTTGAACTGTCAGTGAAATGATGACATATTTGTTTTTATATCCATTTTGCTTAAATTTCCTTTTTACTTTCTTTTTAGGTTAATACAATCTGTTGGAATGAGACTGGAGAATATATCTTATCTGGCTCAGATGACACCAAGTTAGTAATTAGCAATCCTTATAGCAGAAAGGTAAAAATGTTTAAAATAATCTATACTTTCATGAGAGAAAAAGAAAAAAAATTAGAAAAACTGTTCTTTGGAAGAAAAAGACAATTTTTTAAAAAAATTCGATGCTTACAAAATCTAATTTTCAGTGAAACAGTTTAAGAAACTGGATTTTTCTCAGTTTACAGTGAGTAGGTTCTAGTGAAATGCTTCATGACATTTAATTCAAAGTAGGATATCATACTGCATTTTGTTAGATTTTTACTGGTTTTTCTCATTTATGTAGAGAAAATATACAACTATTTTTATATGAGAACATGGTTGCTTGTCAGACCAAAGTCTTATTTAATATTAGCATTCTTAGAGAATAAATGGTCAGTGTATTTTATTTTTCCTCATACTTAAATAGTTAAAATATTTAAATAAACGTTATTGGCTGTTTAGCCGGAAAGGAGGTTCCTATTGAGGCTATGCTTGATTGTAAGACATTTATTTTATATCAGAAATAGCTTTGCTTAATTGTCCTCACTTAACAGAGGGAAACTTGATATTTTAAAGCCCTGCTTCTCTTAAGTCTATAGTTACTAAGATAGTGTTTTTCTGATTGGTGAAAATTTCCTAGAATATATATATGGAATGCTTTTGGATCATTACTATCAGAATTTTACATTATACAAAGCACTTATCCAGATAATATTTTTTTAAGATGCAGAGCTTCACCCTTTTTAAAATTGAAGTGACATATACATAGCTTAAAATTAACCATCTTAATCATTTTTAAGAGTCAGTTCATTGACATTAAAGACATCTATCATCACTACCATTTAACTATAAAATTCTTTCCATTTTGCAAAGCTAAAACTCTGTTCTTATTAAATAGTAACTCATTCTTCAGTTCCCCAGCCCCTGATAGTCAAGTGTTACATTTGGTCTTTATGAATTTAATTATTTTAAGAACCTTCTGTAAATGCTTGTACAATACTGTCTTTTTGTGCCTTTTCACTTAGCATAGTGTCATCAAGACTCATCCATGTTGTATCATATGTCAGGGTTCCTTCCCTTTAGGTTGGAATAATACTTACTCATTTTGTGTGACTATATATACACACATACACACATAATTTGTGTGTGTGTGCGTTTATAATCTTAATCTCAGCTCTTACTGTGTTATATATCTTTAGCTTCTCTGAGGTAATTGTAGGCACTCCTTCATCTCTGTTCTCATTGAACTTTGTGAATAAATAGTATATACACACCACATTACTCCAACTGTCAATGGACAGTCTGGTGGCTTCTACCTTTTAGCTATTATGAATAATGCCTCTAAGGACATAGATGTACAAGTAAATACCTCTCAAAAGTCCCTAGTTTCAATTCATTTGTGAATAGACACAATGAAATAATATTTAAGAGTGCCATGTTTCTTTATTTGCTTGTTTTGAAAAAATGACATTCACTTTGATGCATTGGTCACAGAAGAATCTGTATACTTAAAATATGCACATTGAGACTACTTGATTAAAATTTGGTCATAATTTTATTTCAGTGACAGCTTTACTTGTTTAGATTTAGCAAAGAGAAATTTGAGATTTATAAACACTGATTCTCTTAGATTTGCAATTACTAGGACAGCATTTTTTTTTAATAGCAAAATTTTCCTGAGTTTTTAATATAGGCATGAAATGCTTTTTGATCATTTGCAGTTGATCAGTTTGAAAAGTAATTACTTTCTCCTTTCTAGGTTCAGAAATGATTAAACAGATAGTACATATAAAAGATTTTAAGTGTAAAAAACTTTGCTTTGCTCATATAGTAGTTTAATAGGCCCCAAATTGGTATCATATACAATTTTTAAAAATTTTAAAACATTGATGATTTATTACAAAGTGAAGTTTTTGATTCTGAGCCAAATATTACTTGTTAATTCTAATTTGACTCTATTTAAATCCTATGAGTTCATAGGAAGGTTAATTTATTACAAATAAATTTTGAGGGGCTTCCCTGTGGCCAAGGGGTTATATCTCAGTGCTGTCACCATGATTGCCCACTGCATAGGCCTGAGTTCGATCCTTGACCAGGATGCTAACTCACATAATGGTGAAGCAGACCTCTCCTGTTTCACGTGCTATTCCCCTTAGCAGTGTTGTTCATTAAATCTGCCTATTCTGCTCCCCACTCTTTGATGAATCCACTCACCCCCAACACCTCCGTCTTCACCCCAGCTCTTCTACACAAAAATAAATATATCAACAGAAAAAATTTTTTAAAACACTTCCTATAAATTTAGGAGAGTGTAGATGCCCCTTATAAATGGTGTCATATATTAATTATATAAACAGAGATGTTTGTGAAATTTCATTTTCCACAAATTATAGGCAAGTTTATGTGCACTACTCTTCCCACTGACAAGCTAAGAAATGGCTGATTAAGTACTTTGAAAATTGTTCTAAAAGTAACAAATAACTACCTTAATAGTAGAGAATTATCTATTATTAAAATAGAAGGGAAAGGTTAACTTAGAGAATTGAGCCCTTTTGCTCTGAAGGTACTTGTTACCCTGAGCCTCTTTCAGTATAACATCACACATTTCATTTAGTCTCCTAAAGAACAGTTTGTCCAACTTTTTGGTTTTTCATGACATTGACTTGTCGTCTTGTTGTTTTGGTCTATTAGACCAGTTTTTTATGCTTCTCAATTTGCATTTGGCTGACTGTTTATTCATGAGTGTACTACACTAAACTATTTGCTAAGTCTAAGTTTCCACAGGTAATAATAGTTTGTGGCACATGATAGTAGTTTGTCCCCTTACTGGTGATGTTAACTTTGATCTCTCCATTATTTAGGTACATTTACCATTTGTAAGTAATAAACTTCATGTAAGGTAGAATGTTGAGACTATTTTACAATATACTCTTAGATGTTAACTTTGATCTCTCCATTATTTAGGTACATTTACCATTTGTAAGTAATAAACTTCATGTAAGGTAGTATGTTGAGACTATTTTACAATATACTCTTAAAATCTTTCTTACAGTATTTTTAGTATTACTTAATTCTTGCTATAATCATTACAATGTGATTACAAAATAATGATTTTTCATTCTGTTGTGTTTTTTACATTTATTAATTGATCCTATTTTGTAAATAAGAGCATTTCCTTTGTCACTGCTACTAAAAAAAAAAACTATGAAATTATAGCTTCTGGTTTGATTAAGTATATTATAATCTATCACTTATACTCTTTTTTGATGAGCACATTGTCCCCAGTTTGTTTAGAGGGACCTTTCAAACCAACTTGATATAGTTTGAATTACTCCTATTGTTTCTTTAGCTTTCTTTTTAAAGCATACCAGATATTCCCATTATAAATACACTATGGGGATATACCATAGTTATTCAACCAGCCTATTTTTTTAATTATAAAAAGTCCATCAACAGTTTGCTTGTATGTGTGTATTTGTGTGTGTGTTGTTGAAGGTATATCTTGGGTAAATTCTTAGAAATAACAATTGTCAAAGTAGATGAAAGCATATGTGTTTTTTTAAGGAATTGCTAAATTTTAGTCATCTACCATTTAACAGTTGCCCAGAAATATTTAAGAGCCTATTTCCTCATTTATAGTGTGTTGTCAAGCTTTTAGTTTTTGTTATTCTAGTAAGTGGGAATTGATATTTCAGTGTTTTAATTTCTATTTTCCTTATGAAAATAAAGTTGGATATATTCTCACTTTTTCCACATTTTTAAGGATGATACATATATTTGTGGACTGCAAAGTTATCCTTTTTAAAAAATCAGTTTTTGTCAGATTTGTCCCCCTTTAAGCACTGTTGTTGGAAACTTGTTCTTTATTTGCAATATAAGTTTTTAAAATATTTTAAATTACTTTAGTAATTCAGTTGATTCAGTAATTCAGTACTGCTGAATGAGTCAGATACAGAAAATAGGTAGACATATTCAACTTTGTTGGCACTATTTCTTTTAATAATACTCCATTTTCATCTCTGGGGAGAGGAATGAAAATCTGTTTTTCTGACTTTTCCCCTAATTATGATAATTTAGAATCAAACAATTTTTCACTGAGATGGGAATGTTAATGAGAATTTTTACTGACTGTGATTCTATTAAGTATGAATGTTTTTCATTAGGTAAGAATAAATTACCAAACATCTGTTTTTCTGTGTGTTTTAGGTTTTAACAACAATTCGTTCAGGGCACCGAGCAAATATATTTAGTGCTAAGTTCTTACCATGTACAAATGATAAGCAGATTGTATCCTGCTCCGGAGATGGAGTAATATTTTATACCAATGTTGAGCAAGATGCAGAAACCAACAGGCAATGCCAATTTACGTGCCATTATGGAACCACCTATGAGGTACAGTATTATGTTTATATAAGTGTATATGTTTTCGTATAAGTTTATATGTATGTGTAAATAATGTATATATTTGTCTATATTCATACATTACAGGCATATGTAAGCAAAGAAATTACTAACAGAATAATTAGATTTCAGTAAAATATTTGATAAAATGTATCTTACTATTCTTGGTAAGGACTTGTTGATTTTCACTGTCTTTAAAAATGCCAACATAGGTTCTTTTTTTTTTTCAATACTTTTTTTTTAAAGATTTATTTATTTGTGCATACAGAACTTGGTTATAGGTCAGAGGTGCAGGGGCGGTGAGAGGGTTCACCAGAGATAGAGTGGGGAGCAGAACAAGCAGATCTTGGTAGTACACTGCTGAGCAGCGGGTGGGTCAGGAGAGGTCTGCCACGCCATGTGGTCACCTCCGGGGCAGGCTGGTACCTAACTCTTGCAGGAGTGGCTTTAGCTTCTTAGTGCTGTGCTTTAACCCGCAGCGTCACCAGGGAGGGTCATGCCAACCTAGTTTCACTGATAAATTTCTTATTGTTTAGTTCTTTTATTTCTGCTCTCTTTCTCTAGTCTTTGTTATTTCTGTCTAATGTTAACTTTGTGTTTAGGTTTGTTTTTTCTTTTTTAGTACAGTAAGAGGTATAATTAATGTTTTGATATTGTTCTTATTTTTTTTTTAAGATTTATTTATTCATACAGAACTGGGGTACAAGCCAGAAATGCAGAGGGTGAGAGGATGCACCAGAGACAGAGCGGGGGGCAGAACAGGCAGATCAACGAAGTATACTGCTGAGGGGAGCAGCGGGCGGGTCAGGAGAGGTCTGCCAGGCCATCTGGGCACCTCCGGGGCAGGCGGGGATCGAACTCATGTGGAAGTGGCTTTAGCTTCTCAGTGCAGTGCTTTAACCCACTGTGCCACCAGGAGGGCCCGTTGTCATTTTTTAATGTAACATTTGTGGTTATACATTTCCCACATACAATTTCCTGTTTACATTTAAAATAATTACTGTTAGGAAAGGAGGAATTATTGCCATTTCATTAACTTTTTTTTCTAATATCTATATTCTTGTCTTGCTGCCAAGACATTTCATTGAATTTTTTGTTGTGACATACTTTGGTGCCTTTCTTGTTTTCTTATTTTTTGTTTTTTTTTTTCCATTATGGTTATTATACGGATTATATAAAAATCTTAGTTTTAATGATAGTAACTTTAATCACATATAAAAATTATATTCCTTTACATTCCCATTTTATGTTCTCACTATTACAAATTAATAAACTTTTTGTATTTATGCAATTTTTTATATTAATGTTTTTATTTTTAAAATTGTTTACCTTATTTGAAAGTTGTTTATTTTCAGTAATTCAGTATTACAGAATTCTACATTTGTTTCCGCATTTATCTTTACCAGAGATATACTTCCTCATACTTTTGTGTTGCTGCCTAACATGTATCTGTTTCAATTTGAAGGGGTTTCCATAATTATAAGGCAGATCTTGTGGTGTTGAAGTCCCTAAACTTTTGTTTAACCAGGAAAATCTTTATTTGTCCTTCATTTACAAAAATAATTTTGCTAGTTATCATTTTCTTTGTTCAGAGTTTTTTCCTCTCAGCATTTTGAATATATTATCCTATTCCCTCTGGCTTGTCACCTATGTGATGATTCACATTTCTCTTGCTGCTTTCATGACTGTGTCTTTGATTTTTGACAAGTTGTTTATAATTTGTCTTTTTAAGGGCCTCTTTTAAAATTCGAATGTTCTTTCTTTTGCCCTCAGATTTGTGAGGTTTTCAGCCAACTGGTGAGAAAATTAGGATGCTTTCAAATAGAAACTCTCTGTCCATCACTCTTTCTTCCTCTTCTGTGACTCCCATAAAAAAGTATATTGGGGGGCCCTCCCTGGTGGTGCAGCAGGTTAAAGCACAGCACTAAGAGGCTAAAGCCACTTCAGCATGAGTTTGATCCCCGCCTGCCCCGGAGGTGACCCACATGGCGGGGCAGATCTCCCCTGACCCACCCACTGCTCCCCTCAGCAGTGTACTTCATCAGCTGTCCTGTTCTGCTCCCCACTCTGTCTCTGGTGAATCCTCTCACTGCCCCTGAACCTCTGGCCTATACACCTGTTCTGTATGCACAAAAAAATAAATCTTAAAAAAAAGTTAAAAAAAAAAAGTGTAGGCCCTCCCTGGTGGCGCAGCGGGTTAAAAGCACAGCACTGAGAATCTGAAGCCACTTCAGCATGAGTTCGATTCCCGCCTGCCTCCTGCCCGGGAGGAGACCACATGCACAAAGAGCCAGACCTCTCCTGACCCGCCCGCTGCTTCCCTCAGCAGTGTACTTCGTCGATCTGCCTGTTCTGCTCCCCACTCCGTCTCTGGTGAAGCCTCTCACCGCCCCTGAGCCTCTGGCCTGTACCCCAGTTCTGTATGCACAAATAAATAAATCTTTAAAAAAAAAAAAAAAGTGTATTGGTCAGTTTGTTGATGTTTCCTAAGTCTTTCAGGCTTTCTTCACTTTTTCCTTTTCTCATGGCTTGATACTTTTAAATGATTTATCTTCAAGTTTATGATTCTTTTTCCTGTTTAATCAATCTACTGTGATCTCCTACTGTGAAGTTTCAGATTTAGTTATTATATTTTTTTCACTACAAAATTTCTGTTTGACTCTCTTTTCCAGTTTCTGTCTCATTGGTGATATTCTTATTTATTCATAAATTGTTTTCCTGATTTCTTTTAGTTGTCTTGTATTTTCTTATAATTCATTTAATGTTTTAAGGCAATGAATTTGAATTTTTTAAAAATGAATTCATATGTCTTTAGTGTTAGTTTCTAGAGATTTACTTTGATTCTTTGATTGGGCCATGCTTCCCTGCTTCTAGTTCCTGGTCATTTTCGTTGTTGTGCTTAATTTATAAATTAAACTTTATTATAGATAGACATGTATGTTTAGGAAAATATATAGTATATATAGGGCTTGATCATATCTAGTTTCAGATAATCACTGAGGCTCTGGGAATGTATGCCCTAAAGTTTGAGAGTGACTGCTATATTTCATAGTTTTCTGAGCTTCTCATTCCTTCTATTACTGCTTTTATACTTACTAGAAATGGATATTGGATTTTGTCAAAAATGATTTATGAACGTGTTTTGAGAGTATTATATTGGTTTGTTTTTTAGTTTCTTAATATGATGAATTATATTCATTTTTCAAAACTAAGATCAGTTTGGGTTCCAAACTGAGCACACGTTTTCAGTTCGCTTAAATTCTTACTTAGATATGTTCTTGAGAGATAATAGTCTTTGATGTAGAGATTTGTTTTTATAAGTTTTTGTTGTTGTTGTTTTATTATCTTTGGTTTTATTGCCAGCATATTGCTAACCTGTTACAAAATCTTGGAAATATTTTATCCTCTTCAGTTTTCTGAAGGAGTTTGTATAGAATTGATAATATTTGTTCTTACTGATTAACAGGAAACTATAAATCAGAGATGTTCTTCAGGGGAGGGGGAGTGACTAAAACTGGGGAGGGATAGTGTAGGGGTAAATTGGTGGGAATTTTATGGAGACTATACCTGAGAAAAGAAAGCAAACATTGTAAAATAATGAACAATGATGCTTTATATGTGTGTGTGTGTGTGAATGTGTATATATATATTTGTTTTTACTTATTTATAGTCAAAGAATATACTTTATATGATTTTGAATCCTTTTAATTTTAATAAACTTGTTTTACATCCCATGATATGGTCTTATTTGGTAAATGAGTATTCATTGAAAAGAATATTCTTTTGTATGTGAAATCTTCTATAAATGTCTATTCTGGCAAGATGACTGATAACAATGTTCAAATCTTTTATATTTTTATGGTTACTTGTTTTGTCAATTTTTACTGTTGAAATCTAGTAATTTTGGATTGTCTATCAGTTCTGTGAATTACTAATTCATATAGTTTAAAAACCTGCTATTTGGCTTTTATATTCTGAGTGTTCATGATTTGAACACCCATTTGTCATTGTGGCATGACCTGTTTATCCTCATTAATAGCCTTTGCTTTGGTACTTGCTATTTATATTGCAAATCTAACTTCCTCGTTATTAAAGTTACAAGGGTTATTTTTTACTTTCAGTCTAGCTATGTCTGTATTTAAAGTTGGTTATATTAAAGACATTTTATTTCTAGACAATCAAAATATAAATTTCATATTGTTTTGGTACAGGAATCTAGGCAATTATCCTGTAAAAGACCAAATAGTACATATTTTAGACTTTATAAGCCAAGTAATCTTTGTTTCATCAAAAAAAGACTGCCATTTTATAAAAAAAAGTTGACATAGCCATATGTAAATAACTGGGTGTGGCTGTGTTTTAAGTTCTTATTTACAAAACTGAGTAGCAGGTCATAGTTAGGCAGGGAGATGTTCTTCGCTGACTGCTACGCAAATAATCATTTTTACTTTTTGATATCTGAAAAAGTGTTTAATTTGTTTAGAAACCTTTATCTATGGGTATAGAATTCCAGTTGGGCAGTTTATTTTTTTCTTTTAGAACTTTAAAAATCTTGCACCATTATCTTCTGGCTTGCCTAGATTTTGGCAAGAAGTTTTCTGTTCTTTATTGCTGGCTTTATGTAATTTAAGAATAATGTGTTTTTCATCCTTGCTGAAACCTGAGTATTTTATTTTAAGAATAGATCACAATTCTGGTCCTACTCTGAGTGGATATTTGGGATTTTAAATTTTTAAGTATTTAGTTAATATGATTCATATTTTGTAAACATCCTAGTACATCCTAGTAAACTAAGATAATTTCTGTTCATTTCATCCTTTAAGCCACTATTTGTTTTTAGCATAAAATCTAAACTCCTGTGGGTCACGGGAGAGGCAAATGATCAGCTTTAGTAGATAATGACACATGGTTTTTCAAAGCAGTTGTGTCATTTCATACTTCCATTAATAATGTGTAAGTGTTTCAATTGCTCTACCTCATGGACACTTGATAGTATATCAACATTGTAGATCCAGTATAATATATTTGAATATCCACTGCTAATATTATCAGGTGTTTTTCATTTTAGTCATTCTGATGGTGTATAGTGATATTGACTTAGGATTTTTTTTTTTGTATTTCCTTCATAGTAATGAATTAGAGCACCTTTGCATGTACAGTTTCAAAATGTAAGAACATATCTTCTATTATATGAGAATATGTAAAAACATAGAGGAATGTAAGATACCCGATTATTAGTGGTTTCTGCTTCTAGGAACAGGGAGGATGGAGTTTGTTGGCAAAAGGTTTCACAGAGGGTCTCACTTTCATAAGGTTATTATTACAAACCAGAAGAGGATACAAGTTTATCTAAAAATTTTTTATTGCTAAATTTTTTATTGTAAAATATACATAACAATCTTGCCATTCAAATCATTTTTAAAGTGTGAAGCTCAGCGACATCGAGCACATTCATGTACCACCATTCCCATCACAATAATTTTTTTTGTCAGTTTTAAATCCATCTAAGTCTTAATTGATTCAGCATCACATCCCATAATTTTCTTAAATATTATCAGAGAAGGAAGGTTATAATGGACTTAAAATACAAGTATAAACTTATATTCAGAAATCATAAAAAATTAGGCTGTGAATAGTTTAACTTGTCAGAAGTTATTAAAAAGTTTATAATCTTAAGTACTTTCTAACTGAAATCTGCTTGATTCTAAACTTCAAAATAAAAAGATTTTATTTTTGCTTGTTTTGAATAACTGTGAGAAATATGTAAGTGGTTGCTTTCACCTTATCATTTTATAAAATAGTAGCAATGTTTTTCAGTTATTTGTCTAAAATGTTGAATACCATTACCTGTACTTTTGTTTTTCTCTTCAGATTATGACTGTACCCAATGACCCCTATACTTTTCTCTCATGTGGTGAAGATGGAACTGTTCGGTGGTTTGATACACGCATTAAAACTAGCTGCACAAAGGAAGATTGCAAAGATGTATGAAAGTTTTGTACAAATGATGCAAAAAATTAAGATTATAATTACAATTGAAGAGTATATTATATCTGGGCTATGAGATTGTAAATGAATTAAAAAAATTCTTTCTAAAATCTTTAGAAGTATATATTTTTTAAATTATTTTTTAAAGATTTATTTATTTATTCATACAGAACTGGGGTACAGGCCAGAGATGCAGAGGGTGAGAGGATTCACCAAGGACAGAGTGGGGAGCAGAACAGGCAGATGGATGAAGTACACTGCTGAGGGGAGCAGCGGGCAGGTCAGGAGAGGTCTGCCACGCCATGTGGATCTCCTCTGGGGCAGGCAGGGATCGAACTCATGCAGAAGTGGCTTAGGCTTCTTAGTGCAGCGTTTTAACCCGCTGCACCACCAGGGAGGGCCCAGAAGTATATATCTAATAATCATAAAAATGTTACTGGTGAAGTTAGGAAACTAAATTTTAATTGTATTTGTTAATATTTAATTGTACATTTTAATGTTTTTACTATACATTTCAAACATATTTGAAAGTTTGTATAAACCCTAAGCATATATTCTGGCATTACAAGAACCTAAAGAATTTATCAACATATCCTATTTACTTACACAATGAATTTTGTCTTATAATTAATTAGTGATGAAAAACCACAATTTATCTTCCCTCTTCTTTAAGTCAATAATTATATGCCATACTTTTTTATTTTAATAAAATAACATTTATCAACATGTTCACTAAGCTTTAGCTTACTTCCTTGAAGATATAGCTTCTCTATTAGTTTTGTACTTTTTATACTATTTCAAATTTGAGAAATCCTAAATCAATGTAATGACCAAATGTTTTCTCTTTTCATCCATTAGAAAAAGTAGCTTTTTTCTTAAGTATCAAACAAAACAAAATATTCTTAAATACATTTTTTTCTCCTCCCCTCACCCCATAGAAGCCAAATAGTATATATTAGGTTAAGTTCTTGTTCATTAAATGAATTGTTAACATTCTCTGCATGGGTGATTATTGTTAAGTCAGTTTTTGTATTATATAAATGTATCCATATACACATACGCAATTAGAAAAGCATTGAGCTGAAGGCAAAATTAAGTTTTTAAAATATCAGATTGCGTGTTAGGTAAATTTGGTACACCTATTTCTTAGTAAATGGTAGGCAATAAAATCTGTTATGCTACATTCTTTTCAGCTACATTTAAGTGTACAATGTGGTATATTGTGTAGGATTTGTGCTTTTATAACCAAAAATTCCTGTAAAGACTAATAAGAAATAAGAACATTTTAACATTTTCTTAATAAAACTTAATTTTTAAAAAATATTTGTTTATTTATGCATACAGAACTGGGATGTAGGCCAGAGGTGTAGGGGCAGTGAGAGGATTTACCAGAGACAGAGTGGGGAGCACAACAGCCAGATTAATGAAATACACTACTGAGGGTAGCAGCTGGGGGGTCTGGAGAGGTCTGCCGAGCCATGTGGGTCACCTCTTGAGCTGGGGATCAAACACTAAACTGAGGCTCTGTGGCTCACCTGCAGTGCTGCGCCTTAACTGGTGATGCTACCAGGGAGAGCCCAATAAAACTTGACTTCTTTACTTCTAAAAATGACTGTAAGTAGGTCATAAAGAAAAAAATGGTAAATAGGGTAATTCTTAAGATTATGAAAGGCATTTGGTGAATTAGTTCTATGAAATAGAAATAATGTCTGGAGGTTAGTTCATGTAAAACAAGGTAAATCTAACTTTACAACATAGCAATACTGAGAGGAGTGAAGTGTTAGAGTAAGATAAAATATTAGAGAATTAACAGAAAATCTTAACAATATCTTTGGGATGATAGCTCCTATATTTTATAGTGTTTCTATTGAGATTAGTGACATGGTAGTAAAACCTGTCTCTTACAGGATTTGTATAAATGTATTTTTTTTTTCTGAGCCAGAAGAAAGATTTTATAATTTAAGAAAAATATAAAATTAGCTGAAAATATTGTTATATTTTATGAATGCCATATAAAATATCATTCCTAATTGTACACAAAGGTGATGATACTTTCATCTTTTCTGCCGGTGGACCACTAATAGGGATTGTCCGTGATTTGGATGACTTAGTGGCTTGTTACATAATGGTAGTAATTTAAGTTATATATTATATCATTATGTGAAATATAACTAGTTTTGAAAAATTTTAAATTTTAAATAGAAATAATGAGCTTTTTGAATGATTATCAGCTTGTTTTTGATGCTGATATAGTATGTTGTTTAGTGTTTTATATCTTTTACTGTTCAGATTGTATTTTGCATTACTTCAAAATTGGTTATTTCTAAAGTCTCTAAACTTTAGTAATTTCAGATGTTTTTCAAAATTTTGATTCTTCACTAAGAAGACTATGTAGTGTAGTAGAAGTCAGTTTTGCAATTGGGTAACAATTTGTTTATTTAGTAAGCTAAATAAATCCAGGATTTTCCTTAGAGTTATATACTGCTGAGGAAGAGTGTTGGTTGAGTATGTTTAATTTGGTTTCACATAAACCAAGCTATAACACAAGCTTAACACTTTAATAGAAACTTGAAAAGTAAAATAATATTGCTGTTGTTTACCCCTTTGTCGCAATAATTATATTAAGATTCCTGAGAAAGATTATTTTCTTTTAATTGAAGGGGAAAAGTTTTAAATATTGCATCAGCTCTACTATTAAGCTCTGTGTAACTGAGTGTATTTTATACTTTGTAGGATATTTTAATTAACTGCCGGCGTGCTGCCACATCTGTAGCTATTTGTCCACCAATACCATACTATCTTTCTGTTGGTTGTTCTGATAGCTCAGTACGAATATATGATCGGCGAATGCTGGGCACAAGAGCTACAGGTAAGCAGGTACATGTTAAAGAAAATAGAAGGTGAATTTTTAAAAATGTATGATTATATATATATATACATATTTAGATGTGTGTGTGTGTGTATATGTGTGTGTGTATTTTTTTTTTTGACATCATTCTTTTTTTTTTTTGTACAATTCATGCTTTCTCCTCTCAGGTGTAGTCCCCATAAATCCCACCACAAGTTTACCACCATAGGTCAAATGTACTACACTACATATTTTCCCTTATGTTCTTTTCTTCCCTATTTTGATCCCTCTCCCTCCTACACTGCCAAGTATATTTGATTAATAGTTACCTATTAATTTTTTTTAAAGTTATTATAATTCTTTTTTTCCCTGATTTTATTTGGTTCCCCTTTTTTTCCTGGTTTATTTCACTGAGCATAATCCCTTCCAGCTCCATCCATGTTGTTGCCAATGGCATAAATTTATCTATTTTGATTGCTGAATAGTATTCCATTGGGTATATGTACCACATCTTCGTGATTCAGTCATCTATTTTTGGGCACTTAGGTTGTGTCTATATCTTACCTACTGTAAATAGTTCTTCAGTAAACATAGGGGTGCAGGTATCCTTTTGAACTCATGTTTTTATGTCCCTTAGGTAGATTCCTAGGAGTGGAATTGCTGGGTCATATGGAAGCTCCATTTTTAGTAGTTTGAGGAACCTCCACTCAATTTTCCATAGTGGTTGGACCAGTTTGCATTCCCACCAGCAGTATAGGAGAGTTCCTTTTTCTTCATATCCTTGCCAACATTTGTTGTTTCCTATTTTTTTAGTATGTACCATTCTAGCTGGTATAAGGTGGTATTTCATTGTGGTTTTGATTTGCATTTCCCTGATTTCAAGTGATGTTGAACATTTTTTCATGTACCTGTGGTCATTTGTATCTCCTCTTTGGAGAACTGTCTTTTTAGCTCTTATACTCATTTTAAAAATTAGATTATTTACTTTGTTTTTGTTAAGTTGTATCAACTCTTTGTAGATCTTTGTGACCAGTCCCTTATTAATAGTAGTATTATGTGCCCTTATTAATAGTAGTATTATGTGCAAAACTTTTTGTCGGTCAATAGGGTGTCTATTTTAGTTACTGTCTCTCTTGCTGTACAGAAGCTTTTTAATTTGATGTAATCCCAGACATCAGTCTGATTGGCTTTCCTTTGTAGGTTATTTGTTTCTTTCCCCTTGTCAGCTTCATTATTTTTTTCTTTGTCTTGGATTTTGGAAGCTTTACTATTATGTGTCTGGCTGTAGGTTTCCTTTCCTTGTGGTAATTCAGTGTTTCTTCTGTGTCTTGTATGTCTACTTTCATCTCCTTTTTCATCCTTGGGGAATTCTCTTCGATTATCTCCTGAAATAGTTTCTTAGTTCTCTCCTTATCTCCTAGGATTCCTATAACTCATATTTCCTTTCCTTATGGTATCAGATAGTTCTCACAATGCCTTTTCATTCTTTTTTCTCCATACTTCTCTTTCCTTTTTTTTTGTTCTTTTTATATCTGTATCTTCAAGCATATTGATTAACTCTTCCATTTCATCAATATTTTATCCAGATTTCTTTAGCTCCTCCACTAGTCTTTTAATTTCCTATGTCTCCCTCATTGCCTTCTTTAAGGATTCAATTTCATTCTCAGTTCATTAATTATATTTTTCATATTATTTTATTGTATAGGCTTTATGCAGTATTCTTTTTGTTGTAAAATCTCTCTATTGAAAAAAGAGCCTTTTCTAAAAATAGACTATATGATAGCCTGGATTTATTTTGCTACCTTAAATTACATGTTTAATAATTCTGATTCAATTTTTAAAATCTTTTCCTTAAAAAGATTATAAATTTTAGTCAACTTCCTATTTCTTTTTAGGGAATTATGCAGGTCGAGGAACAACTGGAATGGTTGCCCGTTTTATCCCTTCCCATCTTAGTAATAAGTCCTGCCGTGTAACATCTCTGTGTTACAGTGAAGATGGGCAAGAGATTCTTGTTAGTTACTCTTCAGATTATATATATCTTTTTGACCCAAAAGATGATACAGCAAGAGAACTTAAAACTCCTTCTGCAGAAGAGAGAAGAGAAGAGGTAAGTTTATACTAAACCATGTTCTTTATTTGAAAACATTAATTTGGTTAACACCTGTAGGGCTTCAAAAAAATTGAATTAATTTTCAAGGCATTTATAGTCTGAAAAACAGGGGCATGCAATATACATAAAAAAAAAAACAAACCCACACACACAAAACAAAAAGAGGGCCTAGTAAATAATGAAGGATAAGACTATAGGAAAAGTGAAAAAATTTTAAAGATAATACTAATAACAAAATGTTTCTCTAACTTTGTTAATGTAATTAAGCAATAAGAAAAATCAATAGAAAAGGTTATTGAAATAATGAAGTGGTGTATAAACTTCCAAGAGATTAAATGTTTACTTATATGTTTTGCAGCAATATTTTTATCTGTTACCATTTATTTCTCATGTGGAAAGCAGTCTCCTCCTTTCCTGATTATGCCTGTTTCACAGTGATGAATAAGTGGCATTCAAATATTATCCCTGGGTGCATTTTACAAAATTTATTTTTGTGAGTGAATGAAATATCAGATAAAACACAAACATACATGCACACAACCCTTACACATACACACAGAACTGGGAAAAGGTGGGATTGCTGTTCTTATATATGAATAATAAATAGTAGCAGGCAAATTACTGGTACATGAACATAAATATGCTCTTGGAAGTTTGTATATCACATTAAAAATGTACACAATACAGGGCGCTCCCTGGTGGAGCAGCGAGTTAAAGCACAGCACTGTGAATTTAGCTAAAGCCACTTCAGCATGAGTTCGATCCCTGCCCTGGAGGTGATCCACATGGTACCACAGACCTCTCCTGACCCACCTGCTTCTCCCTTCAGCAGTGTTCTTTGTAGACCTGCCTGTTCTGCTCCCCACTCTCTCTGGTGAGTCCTTTTACCACCCCTGCACCTCGACCTCTACCCCAGTTCTGTATGCATAAATAAATAAATCTTTAAAAAAAGTACACAACACATATATACTATGCACATTTTATACATTACATTACATATTTCAATATTTTATTATTTTCAATAATTTACTGTCACTTAGGTAATTCTAAAATAGTTAACCCTTTTCTTATTCATGAGAGGCAAAAACCAGAAATAAGATGTATTATAAAGCAAGCAGAAAAATCTTTGACTGTTAAGCTTCTTTCTCCAACGTTTTTCATTTTAGTTTAATTTTATAACGTGTTTAATCACTTCATGCTTTGGCTTTTGAATGCCTTTTGAAATTAACCCATGTTTTATTAAAAATCAGTGGCTTTTGCTTCACTAACTCCTGCTAGTCAGCACATTTTTGTGTACTAATGAACAACAATTTTGTAATAGATTGAAGACTCTGTCTGATTCTTACAACTGCAGAAATAGACAGCTAGAAAATTGGGGAAAAGAAATCAATAGATTTATTTTGGAGTTTTTTTTTGTGACTTTAACTGCATTTAACTGAATGAGGAAATTAGCAATGAGGACACAATGGGTGCTGGAGCTACTTATGAGCTCCAATTTATCTGCTGTCAATTTTTTTGTTTCAGCTTAACTTCCTCTTGAGATACATGCTTCCATTACATTACAATCAAACTTTGTAACTGTAACATAATGAAAGAGTTGGAAAAACACAAAAATTTTAATTTTTTGTACCATAGAATACTTAGCTAAATGATGTAGTGAATGATATAGTTAGTAAATGAGGCTAAGTTATGAACACTTGAACATTTTCTAAACATATGTTTTTAATTCTATGTTAACTGATATAAGAAAAAGAATTCTGAAGATGTACTAAAATAATGAAAGTATGTCATGTTAATTATAATGAACCAAACAATTCAGAAGTATACGTAGGAGAAATTTAATAATCTCTGTAATGTCACCACCTCTTTTGGTATTTCATGCTAAATCCTGAATGTTTAGACATATCTCAGTTCACTATATATTTTTTATTGGGTCCATACTATTCATGAAGCCCTTCACTAAACTTTAGAAAATCAAGGATAGTTGTGACAAATAATTGTGCTCTTACTCTCAATTTTTAGTTAAATGGAAGTAGAGATGAATGAATGAATGAACTTATTAAGTATTGTGTTTTATTAAGTAGATCAAAGGAGTGAATGATTGATTTTGATTGGAAAATAAGAACCTCAGAGTTGCATGCATGTTTGTTAGGTAGAAGATATTAAATGTAGTCTGTTCAGTATCAATAGATATTTATCATCACTATGAATGCTGCAGAATATGCAAAATGTTTCCTTATGTCTTTCATATTTTGATTAAGCATTTCACTTGAATATTCAATAAAGAAAGTGAGGGGATGGAAAGAATCTGTTAGACTGATAATATTTTTTAAGAGTTGAACAAGTGACTTATCTCCTCATGTTTTAGTTACGACAACCTCCAGTGAAGCGTTTGAGACTTCGTGGAGATTGGTCAGATACTGGACCCCGAGCAAGGCCTGAGAGTGAACGAGAACGTGATGGTAACTATACTTTGTTTAGTCAGCCCCCCCCCTTTTTTTAAAATAATATAATAGTTTATTTTTACATCATTTTTAGTCAGTCCCTTTGAAAGGTGATACTTAAAAATTAACATTTTAACTTGTTTCTAACTTTTTCGCTGTCAGTTATGCTGCAACAAATACCCATGCATATCTATTCTAACATACCTATCAAATTGCCTCCATAGCTCAAAAAAATTGCACTATTTTACATTCTCATTGAAAATGTAAAAGTGTCCAGTGCCTGACAATTCTTAACTTTTCTTTAGGAAGAGGAATGAAAAATTTTGTCCTAACCTGACAGTTTTATAACAACACATAATTCCCCCAAATCCCCACAATCTGCTGCCTTTGACAAGCATAAGAAACTACCCTAGCAGCTTTAAAAGTAAATTAGTCTGTGTATATTTCAACAAATGATTTTGCAACAAAAATCTTACTCTATTGATTTGAACTTTTTTAAGATCAAAAGTATATCCTCCAAGATTTTACCCTTGGTATTATTTCATGATACATACTGAAATATTAAGCTACATTAATAAAGACAATAAAGTATAAAATTCTGTTTTCACAGAAAATTCAACTTTCTGTGAAATTTAAAATTTCCATTTTTAAAATAATCATAACATAGAATTATTGCAATTTTAATTTTATGCCATATCTAATTTCAAACTGTCCTTAACAGAAAACTCACATGTTTTTTAAAGAGCTCATGATGGTATCACATATAGCAAAATGTGTGTAAACTATAATAGATTTACATACATTCACATAATTTATTTAGGCAATTTGCGGATTTTTTAAAAACTGCTTCCTTTTTAAATGCCTTCAAAAATAGTTTTTACATGAAGAGAGCCTATTTATTATTAAATTCACTGCTAACTATCTGCATTGTCCAGGAGAGCAAAGTCCCAATGTGTCATTGATGCAGAGGATGTCTGACATGTTATCAAGATGGTTTGAAGAAGCAAGTGAAGTTGCACAAAGCAATAGAGGACGAGGAAGGTCTCGACCCAGAGGTAATTTTTCTTACTAATTAATCAGGAAGCTGACAAAATCTGCTTATTGAGGTCACTTTTATTCATATCATCTAACTTATGTTGTTTTATACCTACAGTAATCATAAGATTCTTAGTGTATCATGTGAAGGAGTGGAGGGCAAAGGGTATTGGGGATAATTTCTCCCTTTAGATTCCATTAAGCAGTCTTTATTTTTTTACTTTTTTAAAAGTCTGACATTCTTTTGATTTTAAGTCCTGTTTGTAATGTATCCTGAAAATGAAAATATGTAAAAGTCTGTGGATTTATATAATTGACTACTTAACCCTTTTAGTTTCTATGTGCCTTGGTTAGTAATTACTGTTTCTGATAACTGACCTATTTAAATATCTTAGTTCACTCCTTTCCAGTTTTGTAGTCTTCAGCAAGTTACTTAGTTCTATAAAACTTGAAGAGTATAATAGTTAAATTATACATGTTTTAAAACCTAACATGAAGGACACCCTCGTGGCTTAGGAGTTAAGTCTCAGCGCTATCAAGGCTGTAGCCTAAATTGGATCCCCAGCCAAGGAGCTGGCCCACATATGGCACAGCAGACCTGTCTCACCTGCAGCTCCCCTTCGCAGTGTATTTCAATAAGTCTGCCTGTTCTGCTCCTCACTCTATCTCTGTCTCACCTCCCACACCTGTGGTCTATACTCCACTTCTATGCAAAAATTAAAAAAAAAAATTTAAAAAACAAACCTAAATTTGATTGAATTTCATGCATAAATGATTGTTATGAATACCTGTGTATCAATTATCCACAGTTCAAATAATTATTAAAAAAATTTAAGTGTGGATTTGCTTAAGACTTATTAAAATTGTACTTATATTTAAACTTAAGATATTTTAATCATGGTGCTTAAAACAAAATACTTCATATTTATGGTAGTTCTGTTTTGTAAGATATGGCCTGAATCAGGCTATTCCATTTTTCTCTTAATAACATCAAATTTGAAACAAAATCAGGAAAGTTTTATATTTATTGAGTCCTCTAAATGATTCCTTTACAGATAGTATGACACGCAGGAGATAAATATTCAAGCTGTTTGAATTCATGGCTACATTGTTTTAACTTAGTGCTTGAATCATTACCATCAATGAAATGAAAACCAGGAACTTAATCTTGTTTTGGCCAATTTGTAGCTTTACTCTTGACAATATTTTTATTTTTTCAAGGACATAGTTATGCAGCAGAAATATATTGATATAAATTAGCCCTATGGTCCAACTACTAAACTAGAATCATCATTTTCAAATTTAAGGAAGTAGTTGTTTTCTAAATGACTACCATATTTAACATTTTATTTGAAAGATTATTTTAGTAAAGACTAACGTGCTATAGGTAGATTAATTAGGTTATTTGGTTTGATATCCTGCAGTCACAAATTTTGGTGTGTGCACACTTGCCAGTGCTTATGTATAAACATCTCTTTAGAGTAGTTGGCTTTAGAAAGTGCTTAGTAGTTGAATTTACATCAACATGTACTTTTTGAAGGTGGAACGAGTCAGTCTGATGCTTCAACTCTTCCTACGGTGCCATCAAACACTGATTTGGAAGTGGGTGAAATGGCAATGGAAGTAGATGCTCCTGCTGAACAGTTTCTTCAGCCTTCTACATCCTCTCCATCAGCTCAAGATCATTCAATATCAACTGCAGAAAGTCCTCATTCTACTTCCATGCTTCCTTCTCCAGACAGGGAACAAAGGCAGTCCGTTGAGGCTTCTGGACACCATACACATCATCAGTCTGGTGAGGATGCTACTCTTTAAATAGGCTGTGGTTCACCTGATGGTGAACACTTCTTTTAGGGCTAATATGATAATGAACACTTCTTATAGGGCTAGTATGGTAATATGTATGCACATCACCTTCTTGCTGGAATAGTGATCCAGATGACATATATATATATATATATATGTGGACATGGAACTGAAATACAAAATTCAAGTGTGCTTAACTTGCATGAATTTTAACAAATAACAGGAATCTTAAATTTCTATAAGGTAGTTCTTTAAAAATATGTAAGCACCAGCAGCTGGTAATTTTAGACTTAAAATTATAGACCATTATAGATCAAAATATCTCTCTAGATTTATTTGGTTGTAAGCCTGTCTTGAAAGTAATAGTAAGAATATAGCTTTAATTATTATTAGTTATTTTTGTGTTTGTATTTTTTATTTATTTTCAAATCATAAAATACATTTAATACATTCTGTGTGGTACATTTGTCACCAACAATTTAGCCAAAAGAATGATTTCATATATTGTTTTAATAAATATTTGTCTTCTTAGTACTTAATGTTAGTGAAAAAATCAGCTCTTAAAATCTTTTGAAATACCGTTTTTCTGAATATTATTACTGCTCATGTTTAACTTTCTCTTCTCCCCAACTATGGAATGTACTAGTCATTATGACTGTAATTTTCAGCAGATAATCTTCTTGGTACTTTGACTATATACATGTGATATATCATGTACACATTACATAATAAATTATACATTATAATGTTTACTGTAGTATAATAATCAGTAAGATGTTTATTCATATTTTTCTTTGGATTCTTTTATGGAAATGTTTTACACAACATATAACCAGAATATTAGCAACTAGAGACGCAGCTAGCTAGATATAGGCCATAGCTAAACCTACAAAAAATATTCCCAACAGCTTAACTGCCAAGCTGTCACTTTGTTCTTGCTTTTCTGGAATCTGATACCAGATCTCCAAATATGGGATGTTTAAAATTAAGCACTCTTTTTATCAGTATATTACATTTTTGGTAATCATTTTATGTTTCTTTGGGAATAGAAGCCAGAGCCAATTATGTAACTTAGCACTTGTGTACAATTTATCTATGATAATGATAAAACTGAGGTATAAAAGCAGGTTTCTATAATCTGATGCCACATTTGAATTTAGGTAAAAGTAAAATATTTTGGAGGGTTGGGGGAATAGGGAGAAAATCAGTTCAATGTTTGCTTTCCAGATCAACTAAGATTGATAAAAGCAAGATTTTGCAAATGATAGCATTGCTGGAAATAATCTTAAATTTTGATCAATTATAAGTTACCAGGAAAACAACAGGACTCACTTTCCACATTCATGTTTCCACTAAATCTCAACTAATTCCAGTTGTTTCTTAAATATATTTCTGAGTATTTAGTTTGGGGGTTCAATTTTCATTTTCGTTGTAGGCATTTAACACATTTTAATACTGCATTTCAAATGGCTAACTCACTTGTTAGTATTTCAGTATAGTCACTTGAATCATTGAAATAGGGAAAAAATCATTGTGATTGTGTGATCGTTATTTGAACATTACTTGGCATCTTTGCCTATAAATTTTTCAAAGCAATAATTTTAAGTGCAGATTATTAAAAGAATTTTAATAATTAAAATTCTTGGTTGATTAAACTATGGAAAATAAGAATATTTCCAAGTTGCCAAGATAGGGAAATGATTTGATGTTGATGTAACATCTGAAGGTTATGTCTGGAATTGCTTTGACAATAGGTCTTCATTATCCCAGAGACCAGCTTTTTAGTACTACAGACTTAAAGGTTTTTTTGTCCTCTGTGTTGGTTATTTTCCAATCTCTTGCATTTCTGAGTCAGATAGGATTTGACTAGTGGGAATTGTCCATGTGGGGAGTATCATCTTAGAGCCATGATTTGTATTATTGCCCTGCAAAGAGCAAGAGAAAATGAAAAAAATATCTTCTTGGCTTGTTGTGGATATCTCATGTAAATATTTATGCTTTCCTTCATGACCCTTGCATTTTGTCTGTCACTGTTGCCGGGACATAGTAAAGAAACTCTGTGAATGTGAAAACTTGCTTGCTAAAACTATATCTCTGATTGAATCTTATTATTTAGCTGCTCCTAGTCAACTGAGTTAATGATAGTCAACAAGGTCATGATCACAGATTTCAGTAGGTCTTCGACATTGTTAGAGTGATCTTTCAACAGTTGCTCAACTGCTAGAAAAAAATGTTTTTTCAGACCTTCACGTCGCTTAGACTTTTAATTTTCCCTTTTATCTTTCTCTCACCCACCGGCTGATTCACCTTCTCTCATTCACAATGGGCAAAAAAACCCATTTTCCTACTTTGAATCTCCTAATCTTCCAGTAGCTATACTTCCATTGTGAGAAGCAGACAAATTTTGGGAAGAAATGTTTGCTTTAATATATCAAATGTTAGACAGTGAAGTTCCCATTGCCTCAGACTTCCTGAGGACTTGCTTCTTCTCCTGCATTGTTCCTTTTGTCCTCAAACATGCTCTATTGTTACTACCTGTCTTAAATGTCCTTTCTCAATTATTCTGCATTTCCCTCTAGCTTCTTTTGTAATTATTCAGAAAGTTACCCACAGATAATCTCCAGTTTTAATTTTTTGTCAACCAACTCCAATATGCCTTTCAACCCCCTTTTCACTGAAACTTTTTGTCAGAAACATCAGTGACTTACATTTGACAAATATAAAGTAGTACATTTCTCTTTTACAATAGTTTTTTTTTTTTTGACCTAGTTGCAGTTAACACTATCTACCATTCGTTTCTTGAAACACTTCACTTAAATGGCATCTAAGACTGCTTTTGTGAATTGATTCTCATTATTAACTCTTTTTCAGATTTTTCAGTGGATTGTTGATGTTTCCTATTCATCAATATCTGAATGTTTTAGTAGAAACTTTTAGTCTGTGCTCCTTTCTTTACAAATACTTTTTCCTTGGGTGACTGCATCTGTTTTCTAAAGCTTTTAATATCTCCTCTAATAACCAAAATTATATTGATAATCTAATCTTCTACTCTCAGTTACACTCTTCTTTCCAGCTGCTTATTTGACACTTCTTTTTGGTTATCTTTGGTCATCATTATTTTGTGCCCAAAGTAACACAATTAATTTCTTGCCTTTCCCCTCCCCAAATCTCTTCCTTCTTGGTCATGGTATAGCTTTATAAATTGTAAAACCACCTGCCATTTGTGATTTTAAAAACCTATAAGGTATTCTCGATTCTTTGTTTTATTAATGTCTCATACCTGGTCCATCTGCAAGTCCTGATGATTATCTAAAATATTTACTCTTTCATCCTCTTCATCATTTCTTATCTGCTAATTGATTTCCCTGTATAGCTCACTTCCTTACAATGTATTCTCCATGCAGCAGCCAAGATGAGTACTTTTTAAATTGTTAAATCAGATTATGTAATTTTGCCATTTAAAATCTCTCATAGAATTTTAATTGCATTTAGAAATAAAACAAAAGAGAAAAGCCAAATTTACTGTGGACCTAAGAAACATATGTTGCCTAATTCTGATTTCATGCCATTTTTTCCACCTTCTAATAATCATTATTGCATTCACTACACTGGTTTCCTTGAATGTTCCAAGTTCTCTTCTGCCTCTACCTGATTTGAAACCTTGCGTTTAACTTGAGAAGTTCTTCCCTGTGATTGTCATATAGGTAACTTTTTGGGGGAGGCTTTTTCAAAATTTGTCTACCTTCCCTACACTCCTTAAAATTTAATTCTCTTCTATACAGCCCTGTTTGCTTCCTGAAAAGTGCATCCGTTATCTATAAACTAGTTTAGGCTCTGCAGGACTTACTTATATTTTTGTCTATACTTTCAGCCCATTTCATTCATTCTAAATGTTTCAAGTAAGCTCTGAATATCTGATGGGAACGAAGTTAGATTTTCTGGATCCACTGTTTGCCCTTAGCTGAACAGACCACACGAGATTAATATTTTTCCTAAAATATTTAAGGTACTTTATAGAAATACTTTTAAAAAATCATTTTCATAAATGATGAAATCAGGACACAGAACTAAGAATAAGAAAAAAGTAAAATGAGGCCACAGTAAGGTGAGTATACAAAATACATTACCTGAAGAAAATTGTGATACAGAGGGAAAACAAAATTGGCTTCGGTGATATGGCTAAATCAACTAGAATTTGAAATCGGTTAGAATTTTTAAGGTATTGGTCTTTTTTACTTTGCCTTTTGTATCCTTAAATTTTACTTTACAAGATCATTTGAAGCCATGAGTATGTATATAACCCAGAATTTAATCAGATATTTTTATATTTATAGTAATTTATGTATATAACCCAGAATTTAATCAGATATTTTTATACTTATACTAGTCATGGTCTTTTCCTGAACATTTAACAGAAGATTGTGCTTTTTAAAATGTACTTGTAAGATTATTTAAAAACAGAAAAGTATGACTGTAACTAGAACTCTACAGGTTAAAATGAAACCTTTGTTATTATAAAAAGTATTTCAAAGTAACTATAAAGTATTTTCTTTTGTCAGTAATGCCTCTCAGATATCATTTTTAGTTAATTTTTTAAGTCTAGAATTGTCTTCATTTTTTATGCTATTTGTAGTTTTTTTCCTATGGTGAAAAATTTCTTATAATTAGAGTGTTAAATGAGGTGGTAATCGCCACATGCAATAGTTGAATCTTTTCCTTTGGTCTTAGTTTTATCTAAACTAAAGAATATGAATAGAGAAAGTGTTTTCTTTGGCTTGGATGAAGATAAGGGAATATAGCAAATTTAGTTTGAGCTGCATATTTTGAGTAGTAAGTCACCTGATGGACCCATGTCTCTAGTAAGATAGGCCACTTGTACCATGAGGCTAAGATGGTATTTGATGTGGCCTATGTATGAATTCCTGCTGGTTTACAATGAACTATGTATTTATTTAGTTCTATTCAAAGTCTTCATAGTTACATTGATCTCTGTAGAAAAATTGCTAGGGAAATAAGAACACTTGTATGGCATATCAAAGTAAACATTTCAAAGCCTAAATATCTAAGTCATGATTTCTAGTGGGTGTCAAAGCCTAGTCAGACTAAGTAATGGTGTTAATATTGATAAATCAAGAACAAATAGAGATGTTAGGTTAATGGTCACTTGGGGAAACTAAAGAAGAAGCCAGAGGTACTTGTAAGTCAGTGAAGGATGGACCACTCTAGGGGAAAAATACACAAAAATAACCTGGACAGGAAACAAGATGGTAGTGGAAGACAGATGGATTGGGTTTGAAATACAGTATATATATTAGGTTAGATATTAAAAATAACCTAGTGTTCAGTATAAAAGAACCTGATATTAGAGAATCAGAACATGAGAGTAGAACCAGTTTCATCTCTCTTGGGTCAATTGTAGTTTATTCTCATATCATAGTGGAAAGTAAGTGATTGGGGAAACCTGCCTGGACTCTCACAGGAAAACAAGGAAAGATTAATAGTTTCAGGACATGAAACTGCAAATTACCTATTAGTAGTTGCTGACACATTGCTGAGGATTTTTCTGTTGTTTTTAAAATTCAGCCCGTAGGTGCTCATAGTATTCACTTTCCATTTTGGCTTATGTTAACAAAAACTAGTTCTCTAAGGAGTTATTCACATTATAAATTGTATGTGTGTATACCATTTTTTAGAATGTTAGGTATACTTTTTTTTTTAAAAAATGATGTGTATCTTTGTTTAGGCTGGAGTTCCTGGTTAAAATTTTTTGGCTAATATTTTTCTTTCTTTGTTATATGGTAACTTATTTTTCCTAGCTTCATTTTTTTTTTCACTTAAGGGGAAAAGGCCATTATACAATAAGCCTCGAAAGTAAGTAGATGAATTCTTTAAAAAGCACTGGAAGCATAGAATAAAAGGTTCATGATATTATAATAATAATTGACATTACAAAGCATCATTCCTTGTTTTTAAAGTCTGTTGCTTATTTTCTATAGCACTCAGTGGGTCTACTGTAGTAACTGTTGTATTCCCATAAAACATTAGTAGTATACAAGGGTTTGAAACAGTAAAAGTGAATAGATTTTTTTGTGTGATTTTTCTATCTCAGAAAATTTGTCATTTATGTATTTTCTTTTGAAGTATAAAATGATAAACATGATCACATAATACAGATTGCCAAAAGGTCTGCTATTATCCTGACAATAATTAAGGTGTGTGTGTTTATACATATACCCCAAAAAGAAGGCACTATGCTCTTGAGCATCACAATTTGTCAGTGACTACTATCTCACTTGACAATGAAGAATTTTCTAGGAAGTATTGTCAGTGAGAGACTTCAATGATACTTGTTTGTTAAATCTTAACTGCTTTTGACTAGTGAATAAAACTCTTTATAAATAGAGGGTATGGTCATAAGAAGTTGGCATGGTTGATTCCTGAAACAACAAACCTGTTTTGTATTTTTATAAATAGGAGGTTGTTTGATGGCTTATATAATTTGCTGTCAGTGTTACTTGGAGAAGTTTTGTGTACTGCTATAATCAAATCAGCAGTAGCCACATCTCTACCCATATAAACTGCCTGCCTCACTTTGGTTACAGTGGATGGAGTTTAGTGCATGCCTAAACCATTTCCTCTTTTTATCCCTGCCACTCGTCTCCTCTGTTTAGTTAACATCAATCCTGCATTTGTCCATCACCATTTGTCCATTTGTCTTCCTCCAAATTAACATTGTCCCTGAGCATACAAATGTATGTTATCTCCAAATCAAAATCCACTTCCTTTGACTCTTTATTCCCTCACCAATAACTATTCAGTTTTCCTATTAATCACTAGTAGCATTCTATCTGGAAAGAATTTATGCTTTGTGTATCAATTTTATTATCTCTCCTGTCTCCTAAACTCTTTATAGTCTTAATTTTTGTCCCCTATGACTTCGTTAAAACAGTTCTTACCAAGGTCATCAATGAACTTTTTTTTTTAACTTCTTTTTTTTCTTTTAATTTCTAGGACTTAGTTCTTAGTCACTATCTTCTTCATTTTATCAGCAGTCTTTGATACAATAGCTCTATCTTAGTGGCACACTTCACTCAGCTATGGAGTTCTGCTTACTCAGTTCTCCATCTTTTCAGTGTTCCTCTTCTCAGGAGATTCTTTCCAGAGTTCAGTTGTTATACCTCTCTTCTCTATCATCACTATTTTTAGGTGGCTTAGTGTGACATCATTGGTGACATCCAAATACTGAACCTATACTGTTACAGAGTCCTTACTCAAGTTCTCCACTTGGACATCTGATAGTGCTTTACTTCTCTGAATTCTGCTTGCTCTTCCTTAACCTTCACCATAATATTAAATGGCAATTTTCTCTTTTTCCTGCTCTCTATGCCAAAAACTTTGGGATCATTCTACATCAAAAATTGTTCTTAACATTACCAGTAAAATATATCTCATGCCCAAGTACATTTCCTCCTCTGAGCATTTGTACCTGATCCCTCTACCTGAAACATTATTTGTTCAGATGCCCTTGTGGCTTTTTCCCGTGTCCTTGAGATCTTTGTTAAAGAATCATCTTATAAGCAAAGCCTTCCCTGATGACTACCCATGAAACTATAACCCCTTCTAAGTAACCTTGCCCTCATGTACTTACTTCATAGTTATTATCCCCACTTGGCATATACAAATACATAGTACATGTATTTTACATATGTGTATATGTGTGTGTTTTCACTTATATCTGTTTAGATTTCCTTAGAACCTAAACTCCACATAACTATTTTTTGTTCAATACTTTATTTATCCCGAGCCTAAAACAATGCCTTATACAAAGTACCAACTCAGTAAATCTCTCTGTAGAATTTCATATTATATTTCTTTTTATATAGTCATTGCTTCAGGTAAAGTTTAAGAAAATGTTAAATATTATATATTTTTGAGCTTTAGAAAAGAAAAATGACATTTGTAATAGAAAAGAAACATTTAGTTGATAAATATATAACTTTCTCCTTAAAGAACTCTCCACTAATTAATTACAATAATTGTTTCCAAATGCATGACTTTTTCATCATTTTAATTATTGATTGAAATTGGTCATTTTTAATCTATTAATTAGAGAGATGATTAATTTTTTAATACATAATCTCATTTTGTTATAAAGAGATAAATTTGGTGTTGACAGGAATGTTCATTTTTACATATTTTGCTTATGGAGGGCTTTATTTTCATTCTGTTTAGTTGCCTTACTGTTCTTAAAGAACTATGTGTCTAATTCATCGTAATTAAAAAGAAGCATTTGGGGTGTGTGTATAGTTTAATCTCATAATTTAATGACTATAATTTCTTTTTCATGAGTACTTCCTTATGAAACATGTTATACTTATATCCTTCTCTCATTAATGTATAATCAAATTCTCACTATTTTCTATTTCATTACTTTCTTTTCCTATCTGTGTCAGAATTTTTAAGGGGGCCTGAGATAGCTTTGCTCCGTAAACGCCTGCAACAACTGAGGCTTAAGAAGGCTGAGCAGCAGAGGCAGCAAGAGCTGGCTGCGTGTTCCCAACAGCAGCCTTCCACTTCTGATCAGTCTTCTCATGAGGGCTCTTCAAAGGACCCTCTTGCTTCAGGTTATTAATGTCAAGTGTCCTTGAGCAGCTAGCTAGTAGAGTTGATTTTTTAACACTGCTACCATGTAATAAGATGCTTCCTTTCCCCTCAAAAAGAAACTGATGTGCTTGCAACTGTCTGGTGCATATACTTACCATCACATGTTTAGAGAGACAGATTAGCAGCAGTCTTTGTCAGGAGGAAAAGTAGAAAATGACCCACTACTTTATCTGTAATACATTTGAAGAGAGGCAATATTCATTGTTTCATAACCAGTAAACTACCTTATAATACTTACCTAGTGAATTTAGAGCCTATAATACTTACCTAGTGAATTTATGAAACTCTGATAATACAAATTTGTACTGTTGTCTTTTGCACTGAGTATTTACTGATCCAGTTTTTTATAGCCAGAAATCTTATGATGATCAATAAATTGCTGTTGAAAAAATTAATGAAAGATTTAGCATAGAATAATTTGTTACCTTATTTTGTCAAGATAGACACTAGGGCCTGTTTGCCAGCACTGCTATAGTCAACATTGTGGTAGAGACTATAAATCTTTATTTAGAAATTAGAATATGTCTGGATTCTCATACTGATGAAGCTATAATACTTTGACTTCGTTACTTTGACATTACTACTTTGACATTATTCTAAGAAGTGTAAGAAGTGACATACTTTGACATTACACTAAGAAGTGAATAAATTGGGCGATTATTACTTTGAAAACTCTGATTTCATTACTTGGAATTAATTTGTGCATAGATAGAACTGGACAGCTTCCACTTTATCTGTTCCACTAAGTGCTATGGTAACAAAAGCATATTAGGTAATATTGTGAGGAAATAAACTAAGTTTCAATAGCTAATATAAATGTGATTCTGGAACTTATTTTTTAATTCAATGTCACTAAGTTAATGGAGGGGATATTAATCAAGCAAAGATGTCTCTGATTTATTTTTAACTAGAGAAAAATATTTCCCTGTATTTAAAGCCAACCAGAAAGTTTTAATAGATTACAATCAGCACTTTCACTGTGAGATTTTGCTATAGCTTTGTGCTGCATGTCGGACTCAAGCAAGTGTTTTAGAAGTAAAAATCGTTACATCATAAAAACCAATAAAAAGGAAAAGAAAATGTCCCTATACATAGAGGTATTTTTAAAAAACTGAAATTTAGTAGGTAACAAATCAACTATTAAAATGAAATTAAGTTTAAAAGCAAAGGCATGTACATAGCAGGAAATGTACATTGTGGACATAAGTATTTTGAGATAGTCTTTCATGTCTGCAGAGTTGAAGTTGATTCTTTTTAGTGTCAGAAAATTTTATGGTGATTGGTCTTTGTGAAATAAAATGCTGTTTCTCAACTCTACATATCATTCTTACAAAATTATATCTGAAATTGAATGGATATGCATCTGTAAAGCTGAAAAGGCTGTTATCTACTTTATTATTAAACAATGTACTTGAGCCCCTGAGGTTGCCCACCTGAACCAGATCTAGAATCCGTAAGTGCTATCACTCAGTCTTCCCATTCACCTACAAGGTGAAGTGCTTTATCTGTATTGTTTGCTTTTAACAGCCCCCAAATGAGACCCTAGTAAGTTTAACCTGTGACTACCTTAAAGTGCTGCTTAATATCTTATGCTGTCTTTACTGGTCAGGTGAGCACACTGGTAATTAAAATCTTTTAGAAAAGCTAATGTGTTGTTATAGGGGGTAACTAATAAAATATACATGCTTTGTCCAACTTTAAAATTTTGAATATTAGGAAAATGAGATAGCTTAAGCAAAATTCTTCATTTAAGAAAACATACATTATAAATATCAGAGTGAGAGTTAAATATTTGAAACTCGGGAGGTCTTAATTTGAGTAACAATAACAATAATTTCTATATTCTTACCTATTTAAGTCTTTCAAGTGTAAAATATTTAAGAAAGACAAATATGATTTAGGAACCTAGACATTTTACGAGTGTAGAATTTCTGAAATATTGCATTATCTAGCAACCATTTTTTTCTCTTTTCATTTCTCATATAGCACTTAAGAGAATCTTTCATAAAAGGATTAAAATAAGATGAACCTGCAATACCTGATTTCTGTAAGGAAAGTTGATTGAGCCATCAAACCGCTTTTGCAGAAATAATCTACATTTCTAGTGGAAATGGAAGAAGCCTGATTCTTGTTAGGCTACATAGAATATTGTATATTTAGTTACCAGTATTTCTTGGCAATTGAGAACTAAAACATCATTCCAAGATACCAAATAATGTTTCAAATGAGCTATATAAGATACATATTAAAAGATGTTCAAAAAGTGGTTTTCCTTTTCTTTGTAGCTGTGAAGTCTTGTGGAGTTTCATGTGGAAGTTCTACTATAAAAGTGAAACTGTTGTGATTTCAGCATAAAGAGTGATAACCACCTGCTGTCCCTCATACTACCTCTGAGACACTGTACTCTCCAAATCAAAAAATTTCCAAACAGAATTTTGTCACCTACAAATGATAACTCTTAACTAATCTCCAAAAATTTCAGTTTTCAAACTCAGAATATATTACTTTAAAATATTTTTACTTTATTTCGTTTTTAAACTGATTTTTTTTAGGCTTTTAAAGAATCTACCCTAGAAGAAATGAGAAACATTTTTTTTTTCAGTGAAAACTTTTGTTTTTCTATTATGAAGACTTGAATTTGCCTTTATCAAATCTCTGCCTACCTTGGGCAGGTCATTTAGCTGCTTTATGCCTCAGTTTCTCAACTACTGGTTTATTTAGCTAGTACAGCCTGTCATAATTTATAGAGATGGCATAAGGATCGGGTAGTGCTACTATATAAATTTTGTATTCCTCAGAACTGTACATATAATAAATGTACAATCTTATATCTTTCACTTCCTACCTCAGAATGGCCTCTTATCAAGGTCACATAAAGTTGATAGCATCAAGGGTTTTTAATGAGCTGTATGTGTGTTTATCAAATGAATGCCATGAACAGATGTGGCAAAGGCATTCAACATATAGCTGATTTTAAACCCAACTCTTTTTTTCCCTTCCAGGTCCCCTGAAGTCATGGGTTGCTGGCTCCTGCTCAGAGTGACAACACCCTGTGGAGTCTGCTGGTACTGGCCCAACCACCACAGAGCCCCACTGGAGCATGGAGCCAGCCTAGAGAGGGTCAGGTAGGAACTGTTTTTTCATTTTATGGCACAGTTTTGCCTATTGGAAAAGAAGTAATTTTTCTACCCCAAGAGGGTATAAAATATTCGTGATTACTTTTCATAAGGGCTTTTCAAAACTGAGCCATATTTGAAAAAATCAGCACTTACCCGATCCTATATGAGCGAGCAAGTTCTATACAACATCAGACCCCCTATAGTCCATGTAGCACTTTCCAAATGGGTACACTTGATCCATGTTTTTGCTGTTTAAAACTTGACAGTTAGTAAAGCTGATGTAGTGTTAACCTAGTTTTTCAGGCACTCCTACATTCAGTGACAAAGTCCTGAGCAGGTAGGGATAAGCAGCCTCTTAGACCTTCAACAGGGGAACATGTTCCATATTTTTTGAAATATATTTCCTGTTGTTTATTTTTCATTTAGTAACATGTTTCTGAAAAATGGCAAGTAATAGTATTAATTGATCTTTTTTTTATCTGTTTCCTAAATTTAGTTTACATGGATTATCTTAAATGAAGACTACATGATAGATACACTGATGGCCACCATTTTACAGGTGGAGAAACTGAGACTTAGAGAAGTTAAATAACTTGTCTGGGATTTTATTATTACTGAGTAGAAAAGCCAGATTTGAACCTAGGGAGAGACTGAAGAGCCCTTGATGATCCCTTGATATTTACCTTTTTCTTTCTAAAGCTAAAAAAATGCTGTATCAAAGGACTACAGACTTACCTCAAGACCAAATGCAAATTTTGAGGAAATATAAAGTAATTGAACATGAAACACTTTGAGCTTAGTACTGATTGAGCTTTTGCTTAAATTTTACATCTACCTTAAAAATAATATTATAGTTCAAAAATTTCCAGCAATTGACCAGTCATACTGCATTTTATAATAAAAGTTTTTTAGTATTAGTTATTCTGAGGTTTTTACTATTTGGAAGTATTTCTATAAGTTAGAAGTTGTGGGATTTAAGAATGTCTGAATTATGAACACATCATTAGGATGTTCATGTGATAGGAAACAGGAAAGTAGTTGCCTGGTACCCAAGTTTTAAAGTAGAATAGAAAATTAGGAGCAAATAGTATTTCTTTGCAAAGATTGGTCCTCAGGATAGGAGGAATAGCAAATAATATTACAGATATACACAACATTGTGACAAACTGTAAATTATAAAGGGAAACCCTTTTAGTTTAATACTATCAAAGCATAAACTTCAACAGTTTAATGGATATAACAGCATCTAGGCCCTTAATCTTTGTATGTTTTAGAGATTTTATCCCTTCCAAAATTTTATTTAAAAAATTATTTAAATTTTTTAAATGGTGCACATTATTTCATATGATTTGCATATTTTATAGTATGTATGGAAAAATTAAATTTTAAGATTAAGAATAAGATTGCTTAGAGAGTTGATAGTTTTCAAATAGCTCTCAGTTATTCAGCAAGAACACAATGAAATGTAAAACAAATCCAAAGAGATAAAAAAATATTTTATAACAGACTTTCTATTAATACTTTCACTATGACTTATGTTTTCCTCACCTTAAGGAATGTAATTTTGGTTTCCTCTACAAGCTTCTTATCTGTTCTTTAAAAACAACATAGGTTTTTAAAATTCCTCAAACCCTGAAATGGACAAATAAGAAGAAATTTTATAAAGAAAATAAAGCATGGTGGATTAGGAAATTGAAATATTAGCATTCCTACTTTATTTCCTGGGTAGTAAAGAATTGTTGAACTGAACATACTGATGAACTGGTGATAAATAAGTATACATGAAAGCTGTGATTGAAAGGATGCTGATGTTTTATCAAAGTCAAATGAGCAAACGGTTATATCAGAAGGTAGACAATTTAAAATTGATATAAGTAATCCCAGTAGCTGTATTCAAACGTAGATGTGTACATGTAGAAACAATCAAGTAATATAAAATTACTGAGAATCCAGGATATACTGAAATACTTCTCTCCACTTAAGAGCACTTTTAACTCAAAGTATCTACTTTTAAGGGAGTATAAGCTATTATGAGAAGAAACTGGTGATCAACCCAAAATACAAGGTTTTTGTTTTAATAACATTTGCTAAAGACTAGAGTCTAGGGATTATTCTTATTTTTTGGGAGAACTATGCTTACTGTCCACACTACCTATTTCCTATAGTCCTACTGAGGCTCAACTAAGCCACTTCCCACTTGTCCCCCAGTGCTTTGTCCAATTACTGGGCCCTTAGGGCAAAAAAGAAGAGAGAAGCTTAGGCCTAAAAATGTTGTGACTTTCCCTATGTCGTGGAGCTAATTATTATCAGAACCAGGCTTAGAATCAAAACTTACAAACCCCAGACTAGTGCTGTTTCCATTTAATCATAGTACTTTTCCTTATATCAGTATTTTCAAATAAGAGAATCCATTTACTAAAAAAAAAAAAAAAAATTACTTAGAAACTCAGTCTATAAAAAGGGTAAAAATACATTATTTTATTTGAAGCCAAGGTGGAAAGCATAAAGCTCAGGCCATTAAGCTATTTCTTTGCCTCTCTTTTCCTTTTCCCACCAGGTACCTAAAGAAACCTAAGCCTTCACAGAGTACAGATTTAATATGCACAACATATAAAAGAAAGTTTTTAAAGTTATCTCTGTTTCTGTAATGGTAATGACTTCATTGAATATTTCTCTTGCAAATCATTTTCTTGCTCTAACATTTTCACTTGAGCTCCTTTTGTAGCTCAAGATATGACAAACAACATTTAGCAAAGTACAGTGAGCAGTTCATTTCATGCTTTGAATCCTCCAATCCAGAATAGAAACCATCTAAAGGATTGGAGAGGGGTTTGAGAAGGGAACAAGTCTTCCATTTAGCAAAGAAGATACCCCATTTCAATTTTATCTACCTTGCACCTTGTGCCTGTGCTAAATGATTTTGATAAAAAGTATGTGCATGGAAATCGAGTATTTTCCAACTTGTTCTCAAAGTTGCTAAATGCTTGCCTGGAATAACATCTTAAGCACATGGCCCTGCTTGCTGACTGCTTGGGAGACACACCACGGTACTTACCTCTATTCCCCACCCTTATACATTTGTTTCTTAAGCTTAAAGATGATCATGACATTGCTGTGCAGTTTTCTGCTGCTTACTTTTAAGTTGAAATCTCATTTTTGTTTCAGATTCTCCTTCTTCTGTGGTTAACAAACAGCTCGGATCCATGTCACTTGACGAGCAACAGGGTGCGTGAACAGGAGATGTGCTATGCCCATCCAGCCATAGTTTTATTACAATGCATAAATTAAGCTCTCTGTCATTTTTTCATAGCATTTCACTTTGATTATGGTCTAACAGTCAATATTTTGTGGGCTGAATTATTCTAGGTGGTATTGTACACAAAGGACCTCCTTGGACCACAAATTATTTTCTAGAAAGCTAAGTTAACGTCTACCTTTGGTTCTTTATGACAAATTATAATTCTTTTCCATTAACACAGTAGTATAGCATATATAAACTAAGTCCATTTACAAAAAATTTTAGGTGTCTATTATGAAATTGTGTAGAACTAGGAAGTGAGATTAGCATATTACCTAGAGGCTACTTTAGAAAAGGTTTGGAACATAGTAATATTCTGTGCTACTATAAATACATTGCTGTAGTAATGAAACTTATCTCATAGTCAAATTCCTGGTAGCTTTCTATAGGGAATGCAATTATGAACCAGAGATAAGTTCCAAAGCCTCCAATCATCAGGGAAATAGCCTCCACTTCTTGAAGGAAAGAGAGGTATGGAATCACCCTCAAAATCTTAAACAGAGCCTAGTGATGTGGACAGGTTAGTTATTTGTCAAGCTTTACTACTAGTAGATCAAATACAACACTGAAAGGGATTGATAAAAGAAGACATTCTGACAAGAAAGGGGCAACTAAAGAGGACAGGAAAAGGAAGCATTTTATAAGAAGCGAGTAAACAGACTGTTTTGAGTTACAGCAAATAGCACTACTCATCTCAGGATTCCCTGCAGTATTCTAATTTTGTGATACAAATGATAATGCCTAATGATAAGTCATCAGAATAAATAATACTTTTCTCTCTAGTAAAAGACAGACAGCTGATCATGTAATTGATTTTGCAAATTTTTTCAAAAAATTTAAAGAAACCCTTAGCAATAAAGTCACAAACTTTTGTTGACTAAAAGTTTATATGGTTGGATGATTCACTTGTCAGCATATTGGGGTAAATATTGCTGAAGTTCCTGACAAATTCTTTATGTATTTCTGGTCTTATTCTTGTAGACTAGATATAACAACTATTGCTATAGACTTTTCTGTTCTTGAGAATGAATGAATGAATGAATGAATGAATTGGTAAATGAATTTGAGAACTAAATCATTAAACCTGTTTTTATATTTACACATGTATTGTAGAACTATTAACAATAAAGAATACTTATTTTTATTTAGACAGTTTAACACAAAATATAGTACCATAGTGTACTTTATTATACTATTTTTTAAAATGTTTTCTAATCAGATAATTTTTTGTGTGTGTGAGGATATATGAATGTAATACTATCTCTCTACCAGAGAGGGATGTGTAGCCAAATTTGTATTCTATTTACTAGCAGAATAATTTCCAGAAAATTATGTTTAATACTTTATTCCATTTATTTTGGCGCTGATGATATGATCTGGGATATAACAGAAAGAGAAAAATAAAGGATGACCCCCAGATTTTTGGCATCAATGCCTAAGTAAATGATGATGGTAGACAAGTTTAGGAACAAGAGGTCCCTTGTTTATTTGTCCATGTTAAATCTGAAATATCTTTTAGTCATATCAGTAGAGATACTGTATAAAAGATCAAATATTGTGTAGGTTTGGCAGAAGCTGCATCGTTATAGCCCTTCATCAATATAGGAACTATAAGGCCTATAAAATGTAAGGACTGTTAGGCTGTAAAAAGTCACTGAGCAGAATTCCTGAGCTTTTATATACCTTTTTATTCAGCATGGTCACATCTTTTAAAATATTGGTGACTTCCTATTGTAGGCTTGTATTGTCCCTGGAGAAACTGCCCACCATCATCTTTCTCACATGGGGTAGTATAACCTATGAACTGGTGTGTCACATCTACTCCATTATTACAATCTATTCTCTACCAAGAGCTGTAGTAAACTTTTCAAAATATTGTAAACGTCATTTACCCGTAAACACCTTTTAACTGTGTTCCTTGACCTTTCGAAACAACAATCTATACTTTGTCTTACAGAGACCTACTCCACCTGGCTTAATGTCTCCAACCTTCTCTCAGGCTCCTCTTCCCTTGCTCACCTAAGCTCTTGTCTAACAGGCCTACATTCAGTTCTTCTAACACTGTAAGCTTCTTTTTCCTCTCAAATCCCTTGTATATGCTTTTGATAGTAACCAAACTATTTCCCTTCAGCAACTTCTCATCAAATCTCACTTAGATACCACTTTCTCAAAAATAATAGGACCTTCCAACCTGAAGTAGTTCTCTCTTCCTTTTCTTTATAGTCTGCTATTTTCCTTTGTGCATTTGTCAAAATTTATACCATGCATTTAGGTGATTGTTTAATACCTTTCTTCACTTTCTTTAGATATTTTCATTCAATATAATATACTCAGTGCCTACCACTTTATCTGTTATACACTAAACATATTTATTGAATGAGTAAGTAATTAGTGTAATAATTAGTGAGATACTATAGAAATTATTTCAGCTTAGGGGAAACATGACACATGTATTGGAAAGATCAGTATTACAGAGGATTATATAATCAGTATTACAGAGGATTGATTGGGAGGGAGTAAGATTGAAAACAGCAAGATCAAGTCAGAGGTTGTTGAAATAGTTCAGTTGAGAGATTGTGAATAACTAGAATAACTAGAATAACTAAGGTAGTAGTGCTGGGAAATGGGAAGAATAGACAGTTTTTTTTTAGTCCCTCTGCCTGCTGTGTTTGTGCAGGCAATTCTTTTTTTGTTTTCCTTTTTCTAATAAACCTGTCCTTTTGAAATGTAAAAAGAAAGAAAGAAAAGATACATTTCAAAGTTTTTTAAGAGACAAAGTTGATAGAACTTTGAGATTTTATTAATTAAAACCGAGAGAATCATGTCCAGGTACCTTCAAAGGGTAATAGAGATACCATCAACAAAGATAGGTATTTGAAGCCAGAGAGAAGTTCCAAATAGAAACTGGTTGATACCACCCTGTGAAGTAATATCCATAACAGAAAGGACTGTTGGTATGTGGGTGATTCAGTAAACTCAGCTAAACAGGAAAAGGTAGAAGAAAGTTAGTGTTTGGGAAAGGGCTTGTAGTTTCAAAACTGAGTGGAGATTCTGTTTTTAATATAAAAGGATCTTGTAGAAGAAGTTAAAAACACTTTAGCTATCCTTGATGCTATTTCAAGTTTCACCTTTGTCAAGACCTTTTTCTCCATCTTACTGTGTACTGGGAAAAGTAGTGTGGGTAATTAGTTTCCTTCCTAAGAATCTATCTCTGACTTACTGTTGTCTAAGCATACTTTAGATTACTATTTCTCCTCTTTTTTTTTTCTTTTTTAAGATTTATTTGTGCATACAGAACTGGGGTACAGGCCAGAGAGGCAGGGCCAGTGAGAGGATTCACTAGAGACAGAGAGGGGAGCAGAACAGGCTGACTGATGAAGTACACTGCTGAGGGGAGCAGCAGGCAGCCGGCGGGTCAGGAGAGGTCTGCCACACCACCATGTGGTCACCTCAGGGGCAGGCAGGGTCGAACTCATGCCAAAGTGGCTTTAGCTTCTTAGTGCTGTGTTTTAACCTGCTGCGCCACCAGAGAGGGCCTATTATTACTACTTTTAAGGAGACACTAATACATTCTTAAAATTGATAATTCAGTTTTATGTGAGCTAAAAATACCCACTATCTTCCAGATGCTCAGAAGCTATGCTTTATATATATGCACACAGACATAAAATACTCCTGCTTGCCTCAATAAATATATTTTTTATCAAAACACTTTTTAAAGAAATTATAAAAAACAAAATGTACATTGTTTTTATCTTGTTGTAAAATACTTTCCAATAGTCTTCAAATTGAAGGCTGTGTGTTCATACATTGTCAGCCCCTCCATGCTAATTAGAAGCAACTTGAAAAACAATGACATGTCAGGCATTTTGTTTAGTTTGAAAAATATGTTTTGATGACACATTATGGTTTTACTTTTCACTTATATCTCTTAATTATGTCATGCCAATTGCACTGTAAGGGGAAAAATACCCTCTTCTGACATATTTTGCCTGTTTATATTATGAAAACTGACAAAATTTTTCTCTTAAAATTCTTAAGCCAGCATTTTTTCTTATTTTTTAAGACAATAAAAAAATAATAAAAGATACCTTTGAGCTTGACACTTGATTATTTCGAGGTATAAGAAAATAATTTACCATGATTTAAAATTTTGGCCGTGACTAGAATAAATAACTTTATATCTTTTCAGTGATAATCATTAAGTGGAATTTAATAATGCTGTTAAATTTGAAATGTTTACCTGTAGGCATTTATGAATCTGTCAGATTAATAATTTCTAGATTGAAAGATATATAAATGCTAATACATAAGTTTTAGAAATAGAAATGTTAACTGTTCACATATATTATTATATACATGTGTAGACTTTTTTTCATGTAATAAAATTTTTAAAGAGCTGTGTAGATTATCAGAAACCAATAAAACAAATTTTACTAATTCTACTAGGATAGTTTGGGATATGAAAAAATTGAACTGTTCAATTGAAATTTCATTTTAGTGATATACTGATAATATACCTATCAATAGGTAATATTTATAGCAATTAAGTATACTTTGATAATTCTAATCTTTATTAATTCACTATCTAATGATTATGCCTTTTATGATGGAAATATAAATTCATTATTCATCACATTGGAATATATCTGTAAATGCTGTATTTTAAACTCTAGAAAAGAAATGTCAGTGAAATCAGACTCATTCTAGATTTTTCATATTCCTTAGAACTTTTTATCACTTAGTTGTTTAGATTGAAGTAACTAGTCTCCTTTTCCCCCCAACTACTAAGTCTAGATTCTTCTTTTTGGTGATATATTTGGTCTTTTAGAAGTTAAACCCTATTTAATTTTTACTATGTATGTTCATTGTTTCACTGTCTACTGTTCAAGTCATTATCCAGAACTCCAGTTGTTTCTTAACTCAA